CAAATTCTGTTTAAAGTGATATTCTGCCAAAAAAATTTCTATGTACCCCAAAAGGAAGACTGTATACCAAGAAAGTTTTAGAGTGTTTAAGTCACTAGAACCTAGACGTCTCCAAGAATCTGCTTCTGGCTATAGGTCAAGGTAAGGTAAAGGTAAAGGCCCTCCCGTTGATCGTCGATTTGCTCGAGCGGGCCCAGTAACGTCTCCATTGGAGACTTTGTTGTTACTGTGTTTGGCATATCGAATACTCTCGGTAGCTTGCCGGGCTCTCCGAGAGGGGCGGAGGAATCGCCCCTCCGAGAGGGGCTATAGGTCAGAACTGAACATTCCATGCTTTTATACAACTTGTGGAGTGGAGATAATGGGAAAAAATAGTCATTGGTGATGGGGGCGGGGGGGGGGGGGCGTGGGGCTTCCAACTAAGAACCAGGATCAAGCTGGGAGTCAGGTTTACTTCTGGATACAGTCAAGAAGAAATCTGGCTAAAGATAAGCTCTTTCTTCAATATCTGGGTAAGGTATCTACCTCCTGCACTAATAATTAAGATCAAAATATAATAAGATAAAGGATTGCCTCTCTATGCATCTCTGCTGACTTGGACAGTCTCCCCCCAAATTTCATGTCCTCTGGGAACCAGTTGAAAGTGATCATACTTGACAATAGGATCTTTGACTTCATAATAAGATGAGGTTATACCGGATCAGGTAATGCTGGTGTCCATATTTGAGAATACACAGAGACACCGTTAAGAAAGTGATGTGTCTATGGAAGCAGAGACTTCAGCCAGGTAAATCATGCAGTGTCAAGAACCGAAACAACAACCAGTTAGGAATTCAAGAGTAAGGTGTTTCCTTTGAGCCTCCCAAGAAGGCATGGCCTTGTTGACATCTTTATTTTGAACTTCTGGAATGATGTAGCTTTAAACTTCTCTAACTTTTGAAACTATGAGCCAATGAATTACTGTTGTTTTAGATCATGCAGTTCATTACAGCAGCCCAAGGAAACCCATATATTTATCATAGCTAGTTTCAAATGTATTTCTCTGTAGTGATTCATTAATAGTTCAGAAGCACAGACATTGTGCCAGGCATTCTTCTAGCAATGAACAAAACTGAAAGATCTCTACTCCTACGAAGTTTATGTCTTCAAAAAGATGACAAGAAAAGTATAAAAAAAAAAAAAAAGAAAATACATGTTCTGTCCAACAGTGATAAATTCAGACAAGAATGAAATGTTTGTTTTCAAATCTGAACAAATCTAACACTCGCAGAGGACTTTAATGCAAACATTGAACCTAATGTTTTAGTATTTCATCTTTGTGAAAAATGTCACTGTGTAAATGTGTCTGGGAAAAGAAGTATCTCCTTGTTACTCCATAGTTTCTGCTCTCAAACAAGGAAAACCACTGGCCTACAAGTAAACGGGGAATAACAACACATGAGCAAATCTCATCAAGGCCGAGGGAGGAATTCCTAAGGATTTGGGGATTAACACCACAAAATGATTGTGGCTGGTTTCTAAATGAAATTAGTCATTTGCCTTTAACAATGCCCTGTGGGAGAGACTGCACCAAAGCGGGGGAGATTCTGCTTGACAAAACCCAAAACCCTCCCGGAGAGAACAAGCAAGGGGAACAAGAGAACAAGTAAAACTCTGATCATCTGAGAAGCTCATGAAATTCACACTTAGGCAAAAGTAAGCTCCATAACTAAGAGAGCGTTCTGCAATGGTGGGATGGTCTAGCTACATGCTAGACAGAAACTACGGGTCACTTGTAACTAATGAGCCCTGGAAATGTGGTCTGAGAGACAGGAAAGCTTCAATTTTAATTTAACTAAATTCTGATTAATTTAAATTTAAATAACTGCAAGTAGTCTGTGGCTACCCTAATGGAGAGTGGAAGTGGGAGAGGGGGATTTTTTTTCAAGTGACTCACCCTGAGATACAGAGTTACAAAGCTGTTCATAACTAGGGTTTTAGTCCTACAGTATTACAACACCCATCCCTCCACCATTGTACATTTCCTACCAACAATGTCCCCAGTTTCCCTCCAGCCATCCTCCCTCCAGCCTGTCTCTATGGTAGGTACTTTCCTTCTCTCTCTCTCTCTTTCTTTCTCTCTCTCTCTCTCTCTCTCTCTCTCTCTCTCTCTCTCTCTCTCTCTCTCTCTCCCTCCTTCTCTCCCTCCCTCCCCCTCCCTTTCTTTCTCTCTCTGTCTCTGTTTTTCTCTGTCTCTGTCTCTCTCTGTCTCACTCTCTCTCTCTCTCAGTATAAAAGAAAACATGGCTAAGGTCTTAAGGAAAAACAAGTATGGGAGCCTTCACAGGAAGGACATGCACTATACACAGCACTTCTAGGGTCTATTCATTTCCTTAATCCTTAGTGTTCTTATAGATGGTCAGCAGCATCCTCTCCCTTGTGCTGGAGAAGGACATCAAAGCTCAACTAGATTGTCTGATATGGCCAGAGGGGTGCGACTAGACATGTAAATTTAGCTTTGATACCAAAGTCCACTTATTACCTGCTAAGGTACTTTTCACTCTCATGATCTCTGCCATTTCTACCACTTCTGAACAGTCTAACAAGTGTGTATTTGTGTATGTAGAGATTTCAAAATAGGGAAGTCTGGGGATTAGGGGATTAGCTGAATGCTCAGTGTAGATGGAGGATTCTATAGAGGTCAGAGCACCCGTTCACCAACTAACCCCACTTTCCATTTGGCCCAGCAAAGTGGAATGCCAGAAACAGAGATAGGATTGCATTAATGCACACTTGCCAAATAACTTATTAAAGCCAGGAGGGGCACATAAAATGAACCTTTTCCCTTCGGACACAGGCAAAAATTCTGTATCACAGCTTTCTTGGTCCTTGGGAAGCTCCCATTTTCCAAGGAAATAGAGACATTCAGAAACCCTGGGCAACAGGCACCCTCATGAACAAAATGAAGATTTGGCAATAGAGGCTACAGTGAATGGCATGTCAGGCTTGGGGAGTGGCAGAGGTTCTCCCCTCAGCCTCCTGCTGGTCCCCATCAGTGGAGACAGGCCACTAGTAGGCCCATAGGGCAGTTGTGCCAGTCAGTGCTGGAATCCTGAGGAAGCCAGGCTGGAAAAAGCAGCCTTTGCAAAGCAAAACCCACAACTGCTGTGTCCTGGATGAACCCCGGCCTGTGCACTGCACTTATAATTTCTGCAACATTATGAGAAGGCTCCTGATGGGATTAATTTGTATTCTGTAAAGTTTCCCTGTGTCTGGAAATATACTGATAGGTTAATAAAACAATTCTCCAGTTGTTTCTATCATCTCATGGAAGGTTAACCGAGTCTTTCATTATTGGTCTGGTACATTTAGCCTGCAGGGAACCTTCTGGAAAGAACACTTCCTCCCCCAACATCTTGAGGGTTTGAAGTTTATGTGATTCCACACCCAAAATAAATCTAAAAATAGCTCATCCTAATGAATGTGGGGGGGGTGTCCTGGAAAGGAATTTATGGAAAAACTCTACTCAGCCAAGCACTCTCACATTTCTCTGTAGATGCCTCATCTGACTTCTTAACCACTCCCCCACCCTCTCCCCCACCTACAAACCTGGTCCTGAAGACATCTCTAGTGCAATTTCACACACTGAAACTATTGGACATCCAAGAATATGAATGAGCTGACACAAAAATGATTTGATAACTAGCAAATGCTTTGCTCCTATTCATTCCCTCAGGGTGAAGCCAAAACCACTGTGTTGCATTCTCTTTAATGTCAACACCTTCAGCAAAGATCAAGTCTTTGGGTAATCACCAATAATCCTTGCCTTCCTCCCCCCCCCCCCCCCCCCACCGCCCACACACACCTTTCTGGTGGTAGTTCGCGTTCTTTTGCCTCCTCTACTAAACTGCTTAAAGCCAGACTACAATCTACAATTGTGAGAGTCGAAGTCAGTCTTTGTGGTGCACTGCTCGCACAAGTTTCCAGCGAAGGAAAGCTCCGCTTTCTTAAATATTGCCAGGGCAACGTCCCTAGGAACGCCCAGCCCGGCTGCTTGGACTCGGTCCCAGGAATGACCGACCTGGCAAAAAGCCCCTCCACCGCCCTCCACCGGCCCAAAGCGCAGGGTACCAGGAGCCGGGCGCTAGTCTCGAGAGTCCCAGCAGGATCCGACACCCAGAAGGGCAGTCCTTGAATCTTGAGTCCCTGCTCGCCCCGAGCCATGCCGGGTGCTGACTCGGCGCAGTCGGGATTCCAGGACCCTCCTGCTATCACCGGCGAAGGGCAGCTGCGGGGTGCACCAGGTTCCCGGAGGAGCTCAAGTGAGGTTTATCTGGAGTTTTCTTGGCTATCTTCATCCCCGAACCAGAGGCAACATAGTCGCTTCCCAGGACACCAGCGGAGCGCGCGCGACCCGGAGCCGCTCGGATCCCGCGCCCGCGGGCGGTGGGAGCCAAAGAGCCTAAACCAGTAGGCGCCAGAGACCAAGTTTGCGTGCTGGGGATCCCAAGTTCCCAGCACCTGCCGAGGGGATCGGTTCTGTATGACAGCCCCCTCCTCCCCTCCCCGGATGTCCTGGCGCTGGGAGGCTCGGGACCGCGGCGAGCAGCCGGGCAGCCGGACACTGCAGCGTCCCTCCAGCGCGGGGCGGTCCCCGAAGCGCTTCCGACGGCTGCTCCGCCGCCCCGCGTCCAGGATGCGCCTAGGGAGCGGGGTGCCCGACGGTGTCCAGTGCGCATCTGTGGGTCATCCCTGACTCGAGAGCTGCAGTGAAACCCCCCACCCCCTCAGCTCCACCTCCATCCCCCAGCCCAGGACCCTGAGTGGACGCGGGACGATCGCGGACCCGACCGAGCGCCCGGGACCGGTTTGTAAGGTGCTGAGCATCGGGCGAGCTCGCAGACGGCGCGAGGGGCCAGTGGCATCCGAAGGGTGCGTGGCGGGGACCGAGGGGCTCAACTCCTCGCGACCCCGAGGTCGTCTGACCCGCTCGCCCGCACAGCGGGGCCCCTGGGTCTTACCGGCTCGGGAGCCTGGACGCGGCCGTAGCGCTCCTCGGCAGCGTGGGCAGGCGCGGCCAGGGCACGGGACCGTTGGGTGAACATGTCTCGCTTTTTCCACCCCCGGCCCACGCTCGAGTCACTGCAGTTGCCGCCACGTGCCCCGGGAAGAAGCACCGCGGGTGCCCTGCTCCTCACTCGGGCAGAGACTAGTTGACTTTGCAGGGACAGGGGCCCCACATTTTGTCTGCTTGACAGACCCCACCCGCGGACCACTCCCTCCCTCTCGTCTCTGAGTCCCACCCATAAGAACCCTAATGACAGATCTGCCACAACCCCACCTCTTTGCATTCAGGAAAGGGAAAAAAAAAGCATTCTTCAGGAGCTGAGAGGAAACTAGGCGGAACCCTGTCCCCTCACCTCACAGGACAGAACTGAAGCTTAAGCATGGTCCAGGCAGAGAAGTTGGAAATAAAGGGGTTACTTCTCAGCTCTCAGAATCTTATCACATCCCAGCCTATTTTAACCAAAGAGCTGCCAAGTAAAAAAATCAATCAAAGCAACTGCAAGTTCTGGCAATTACAGGTCGACATTGTTATTTAGAGAAAAGAGCTAATGCTTGAGGGAAAGCATTGTTTGCATGAGGCAAATAACAAACCCGCTTTCTGCTGTAGGTTTAATGAAAGAAATTGCTTTTTTTTCCCCCCAAGACTAAGACTTTGCCTAGACTGCAGCAGGGACTTGGGAGAACCCGGTTTGGCTCCCACAGACAAACCGGACAAAAATCCACAGACAAAAATCCACAGTTCTGGATTTTTCTGGGAAGGGCTGTACATTAGAAACTACATCTGGCTCTTTGCCTTTCAGCAGCATGGTGTGGTCTGTCCTCTCAGCCAGGGGGTGTTAGCAGTGAACAAGGTACTTAACCAGGGGAAGTTCATGTTCAAGTGTTTAAAGGAAAACAGTATGTTTTCCTTAGGAATGAATTTTCAGGCAACTGGAAATGTCAGTTATTCTGGGGAAGACCATCCATAGTAGTCAAAAATACAACAGACCTATTCCTTAAATATTATTGCTGGGGGCTGTATATGTTTGTAAAATTGGGAAGAGAAAGAAAGTATTGTATGCTTAGAATAAAGCACTTAAAAATACTGATTCCATTCTTGTTCCCACCTTCAGATGTGGACAGAATTCAGTATCTGACAATTTGATAATAATTCATTGAAATTAAACTCTGATTTGTGCCAGGTTTGTATTACACAATTTGCATTCTGAGTCTTAATTCAACAACCACTTTATGAGGTATCTATGTTTACTTTAGAGATTTAGGAGTCAAAATAAGCAGATTTAGGAGTCAAAATAAGTTTACACAGCTTCCAGGGCTAAGCTGGGATTTCTTCGGAGCCGCAAAATTTCAGGACTAAGTGCTTCCTAAGATTGCACCAGCCACACACTGTCACCAAGACATGGGCTCAAAAGTCAAGAGACTTGCAAATTCATTGTCCTTGTTGATCACAGTAAATTCAGCTTTAAAAATGAGGGTTGCCTTCCTCAAGGTTTGTTCAGGCATTCTGGAGCCAAGAACATGGGATTCTATTTCACCTCCTTTCTCTTCCACTTTCTGCCCTCTGCTGGAAGTGCTAGAGGAATTACGAAATCAAATCAGTTGAGACAGCTAAGGCATTAAAACCTCTTTTTTTCCTTCCACTACCACACTGTGTTCTGGAACTAACTCTGATTGTGTTGATAGTATAAAATAAGTATCCCTTAAATCCCTTTTAAAATGAAAATCCAACCAATTTCAGGTACCTGGAATATGGCTAGCTCTTGTCACCAATTCAATAAATTCTTGGATATACAGAGGAAATATCTATTTTTAGATTCTTTGTAACTTTGGGAATATAAGAAACTGCAAGTATATTCTCATAGTAAAACTAATTCAAGTATCAGAGGGCTCACTCATAGTTATCTTCAATGTCTTGGGTAATTAATTCCTAAAGTGACACCATTTATTAAAATACATTTTTACTCAGAAAAGACTGTCTTTTATATTTTTTAGCATCTAGTATTTCAAGCAACAAATTTAAAGAAAAGAACAAAATTAATGAAGTTTTTTTAAACAAATTAAAGATAGTCAATTTACAATCAAATTTTGCTTACACAGCACTCTACAACTTAGTGCTTAGTACCTGGTCTTAGAGAAGCAGGCAGTGGCCAAGATATGCTACTCCATGGCTTATCTATTAGCTAGATGTTCAGCTAATAGTCCCTTAGGACTTGCTATCAGACAAACAAACAGAACAACAGAACTCTTGAGTTCACAGAAATCTCATGCTTGCGAAATAAAAAATACAAATGACACACATAGAGTGTAACTACAGGGAGTGATTTCAAAGATTTTCCAAGTATTATGTGCCAGACTTTTCACGAAGAGGCACTTACATTTTGTCTTAATTCTTGAAACAAACCTTTGCCATAAGAATAATAATATATCCAATTCATAATCTGTTACATAAAATAACATTCATTGGGTATTTAATATTATTTCAGTTGCTTTACAGAAGAGGAGGAAAATGAGCCTTACAGAATTTAAAATTGATTAAGATCTAAGTTACTTAAAGTGGAAGAACCATTACTGAAGCTCAAGAATATGGAAATCTTCATTTCCACATGTGTAGTACATTATTGAGATACTAATGAAAACATCCACAGAAGCTGTGGCTTAGATGATAGGCTTCGAATTCACTGTTCATCTATCAGATATTTACTGAGTGTTGTAGTTGGTTGAATTGTGTCAACCCCCTGACCTAAAATTAATGTCCACCTAGAACCTAAAAATGTAAGTTTTCTTATACCAAAATAAGTTCTTTACAATTGTAATTAGTTAAGATATTATAGCATATTGTGAGCCCTCAATATAATGTCCTTTGAAAAGTCGTAAGGTAGAGATGTGTAGCGGAGATTCAATGGACTTTGGAGGAGGGATATTGGTTCTTTGGTGATGAGCATGGAATTATTAACATTTACAATTGTATAAACCATTCTTACCTTGATTGAATAAAGTTAAAACTAAATTATCTTCTTTTTGAAAAGAATATATTCACAGACATGAAGTTCATGTGAAATTGGAGGTGAGGCTGTGGTGATGTGTCTACAAGTCAAAAAATGCCAAAGGCTAATGTTCACACCCAAAAGCTAGAATTGTGGCTTGGAGTGGTCTCTCTTTCATAGTCTCTAGAAGCAAATAACCCTGATGATATGTGTTTAGACATGTGGCCTTCTGAACAAATAATAAATCTTTGTTGCTTTGAGATAGAATTCGCTAGGAAATTAATATCAGCCTTTATAAAACTAGGGATAATTCTCTATTCAAGTTAGTGCAGTATATAAAATTTGTAACATTTGTAATACAATGACAGCTGGTTGTCTCAGAAGGTAAAAATGTTGTAAGAAGACAGGATGGCCAGATGAGGGTAACAGGAGTTGGTTAGTGAAGGTCTACTGGGATGTGATTTAAGTCAAATTAATCTGCACTATAGAGAATTTGGCTATACACAGGTGAATATTCACATGACCATTTGAGTATGTCCAAAAAACTCATAGGAAAGAAAACAGAAGAACAAAAGCTCCACAAACAATAGGCCTAAACTTCCTTAACTTCCTAGGATTCTGAAATACATGACAATGGTTTCCAGATGAACATCTAGTTCTGTTTCTCAGACCTGCAGTTTTTGGAGAGCACAGAGGTTCCCAGCTCCTCCCACTACTCCCAAATTTACATCTTTTTTAGTAGGTAGCAATGTATGGTTTTGTTCTGCCTCTAAGAAACTAACCTCATAGGGCAACTGTCTGGCCAGAGTTTGGGATGGTCTAATCACTGCCAACAAATGATCAGGACAATTTTACTGAGCAGAGTGAAAACCAAAGAGGAAACATAGTTTACATCAATCAGCTTTAGCTCCAGAACAGCTGTCTCAATTTCCAGCATCCAAAGATGAGCAAATAAAAAGCTGGAGGAGTCAAACTGGGTCATAATATGAAGAGCCAAAAAAAAAAAATTCTTCTGTTATTTGTATATACTACTACTGATACTTGATCCATTTTTATGACCATAAAGTTCGAACCTCAGACTTCCTTGCAAAAAAACACGTATTTCCCCTCAAAGTTCCACTTCAGTCAGTTTAACAAAAATTACATCAGCCTGTTTGAGATTATTTGAATTTAGACTTGAAGAATAGTGAAATTAATTGAAAAGCGAACATTAAGTGTTGGGTCAATAGCCTAAATATTTCAATTTACGTATTTCGCAAATCTCAAACAGTGAGCCAATAAACTTTTAAAATGATACAAAATACACAGAAATAAGGTCACCATGTTCACAATTTTATCTATGTCATTTTTCACCGTGGCTATTTGGACTTTTCTTTTTTATTCCTTCTGTAATTGACTTGAAGTGGAGCAAAAAAGGAACAATGTGTCTTGCTTTCTTCCCAGAACAAAGGAGTGCAAATATTTAGGCCACATTTAACTTAATCTTGAAAAACTCACTTCTGCCCTGTTCCATTAGATCCTTTTCTGTTTACACCAACCCTCCAGGGCAAGAGAGATGTAAATGAAGCCCTGCACCACTGCATCCTGGCAACATCACTGTTTATCACACACCTCTAAGCTGTCGCCCAGGATGCCTCCCAGCTCAATGCTTGTCTAGTTCCCCCCACCCCCCCCCTTAAGAGTCCTTCCTTTGCACAGCAGTTAGCAGACTACATTTTTTTTCAATAAAGAGTTCAGTACTTAATCCCCACTTCATCCCCATTTTTATTTGGGCATCACGATACGCCCTCTCACAGCCCTCCCTCAATAAACGAAACTCTTGGTATCTGTCACAGTTGGCATTTGTTACTTCCTTACTATGCTCCTTCTCATTTTAAAGAAGTCTCTGTATGGTTTTCCATAGAGGCTGAACTAGATGACAATCCAAGCACCAGTGAATAAGTTGAAATTTTACTCCCTACCAGCAGTTTCTACTTTTGGATGTGTTCCAGTCCCATGTGTGTGACTGTTACCTCATATTTTGATTTGTATTTCCTTAATGACAGTGAAGAGCACTTTTTTTCAATATGCCTATATAACCTGTCTTATGAGGAAGTGTCTTTTCAGCTCCTCTTCCATTTTATTTTATTATTTTTTTGCTTTTTTGGGGGTTACACCCGGCAATGCACAGGGGCTACTCCTGGCTTTGCACTCAGGAATTACTCCTGGTGGTGCTCGAGGGACCATATGGGATGCTGGGAATCGAACGCTGGTCAACCATGTGCAAGGCAAACGCCCTACCCTCTGTGCTATTGCTCCAGTCTCTTTTCCCATTTTTTATGTGGTTCTTTTTGGTTTTTTTTTTTTGCGAATGCTTTATAAATCTTGAATATTAACCCCTGTCAGATCTGTGGTGAGAAAATATTTTCTCCCAGTCCATAAAGTGTCATTTACAAAGTAGAAAGTTTAATTTGTGCACTGTCATTTGTTTCCGCTTGTTTGACCAATGTATTGAGTCACTGAAGATGCCTCTACAGCCAAAATCATGTAGCTGTTATGTTTTCATTGATATTAATTTATGGTTTCAAGTCTCATATCAAGATTTTTAATCAATTTTGAATTAATCTTTTGTGTATTATGAGATAGAGATCTAAGTTGATGTTCTATTTTGCATGTTTGCGTGTGACAGTTTTCCCAAAACTTTTTTTCTTTAAGTATTGCACCACAACTACTAGTGTTAAGGGCTTACTCCCAGCTCTGCACTTACGGACCACTTCTAGTGGGCTTGATGGACCATATGGAGTGGTAGGGATCAAACCTGGGTTGACCACGTAGAAGGCCAGAGCCTTACCTGGGGTCCTATTATTCCAACCCTTTCCAAAGTTTCGTTGAAGATTTTTCTGCTTCATTTCATATAACTAGATCATTTGGCAAAGATTAGCAGTCCGAATGCCTGAGGCTTCATCTCTCAATTCTGTTTCATTGATGGGAGTTTGCCTTTATCACACAGTCTTATTACAGCTAATATAACTTCAGGTTGAGAAAAGAAAAGCTTCCAGTGTTTTATTCCCAGATTGCTTTATTTTGGAAGTTTTAATATTACACATACATTTTAACAACATTTTGTCTTTAAAAAGTGCCATGGCAATTTTTTTAAATTTTTTAATTTTTTTTAGTGGAACACTATGAGGTACAGTTGTAGACTTACAAATTTTTGTGCTTGGGTTTCAGTTATACAATGATTGAGTACCCATCTCTCCACCAGTGCCCATTCTCCACCACCACTGATCCCAGTATCCCTCCCACCCCTCATGTCCCCCATTCGCCCTGCCTCTGTGGCAGGGCATTCCCTTTAGTTCTCTCTCTCCCTTTGGTTGCTGAGGTTTGCAAAAGAGGCACTGAGTGGCAATCAAGTTCGGTCTATAGTCTACTTTCAGCATGCATCTTCCATCTTGGGAGGATCCTCCCAACACCCTTTATTTGGTGTTCCTTTCTCTATCTGAGTTGCCTTTCCCCCTAGCACCATGGCAATTTTTATGGGAATTACATTGAATGTGCCTTGGGTAGGATGCTAATCTTAACAATATTAGTCCTCCTAATGTATGAGGGGAATGTGCTTCCATTTCCTTCTGCCTTCTATTTTTTTCAGAAGATAGTAATTTAGTTTTCTTTCTATACATCTTTCACCTTAGGTATTGGGAATGGGGGGTGGGGAGCGTCAGTTTTGAATGGGATTGTTTTTCTCTTTTCTACTTCATTTTATGGGTTGGAGCGATAGCACAGCAGATAGGGCATTTGCCCTGCACGTGGCCAACCTGGGTTCGATTCCTCTGCCCCTCTCAGAGAGCCCGGCAAGCTACCGATAGTATTCCACCCACACGGCAGAGCCTGGCAAGCTCCCCGTGGCATACTCAAGACAGTACAACAAGTCACACCATGGAGACATTACTGGTGCCCACTCAGGAAATCGATGAACAATGGGACAGTGCTATAGTGCTACTTCATTTTATATAGAAATGTCAAATTACTGCATGTTGATTTTGTAGTCTGCCACTTTACCGAATTCATTTATTATTTGTAAATTTTTCGTGGAATGAGTATTTTCTAGTGTACCATGCAATTTGTAAATAGTGATATATTAACTTCTTTTCTAGTATGATACTCTTAATATCTCTTTCTTGCTTAATTGCTTTGGCAAGGACTTTCAATGCTATTCTGAATAATAGGGGTTAGAATGGACATTCTTGTCTCATGCCCTTCTTAGAACAAAGACTCAGTTTTTCACCACTGAGTATGTTGTTAGCTATGGGGCTCATATAAACTGCCTTCACTATATTGTATACTACACAATAGTATATTGTATAATACTGTAATTGTATAATAGTATATTGTATACTGTAACTTTTGACAATATTTGTCATGATACTTTCTCTGCAGATAGTTTTTGTCTTTCCTTATATTGACATGGCATATGAAATCAGATCCTTTCTCTGCACTGACATATAATTTCTTATAAATTCTCTGATTTTGTGTCATAAAGTTTTTCCATAGTAATCTCAGCAATCTCTGAAATTTGAGATCTTTTGAATTTTTCTTGGTAATCTTGAATATCTTTTCCCGTGGTAGTTTTTCTCCACTTTCCTTTCTGATCTGGTATATGAAGAGTTTTCTCTTTTATAGTGTGAGGCAGATGGCAATTTTCAAATAAGCAAATGAAACAAAACAAAGGATCCCCTCTTACAACTTCCCTAAGGTGCCCACTGCAACTAGAAGAAAACCCCAGTTTCAAACCAGAGTCTATCAAGCACAATATGGACTTATCCTAGACTATTCCTCTTATTACGCTCTAACCACATCAGCTGTTCTTTTTGTTCCTCAAACATGCCAACAATCTCTCCAATTGAGGGACTTGTATGCTTTCTCTCATTGACTTCTCTTCTTCAGAACCTCAAATGACGGTAAATTTGGATCATAAACTAAGCATCCCCATTTCAGAGAGATTTACCCAACATACAATAGCAATTGACCCTTTCACTTCTCACTTTCATCATTTTCTGAACCATTTCTTTAAATAATACCACTTAATAAAATCACATCAGTTAAACCTATGTAAAATCACATCATTTAAAACACACACATACACACATTTATATTTTCTCCCTCCTCTCCTTTTTAAGTTTCCTGAAAAATAAACTTAAAATAAGTATAAATAAAACATAAATATCTTAAAAAGGCTCATCATTACAACTAGTACCTATCACATAAGTGTCTGTCACATAGGAAATACATCTGGTGCTTAAATAAATGAATCAATGGGTTGTGTGACTGTGAAGTAAATTAAGCTCTCAACTATCAAGCTTACAAAAAAACAGCAATCAGCTCAATTTATCATTCATTTAATCTCTTGTCTCTGCTAAATGCTTTTCCACAAAAAAAAAAAGAACAGAAGCCCAACAGACACAAACTAGACTTCAGAACTTATAGTCAAGATAGTCAAGTTTTTGATAAACGAAAGTTTCCCAAGTAAACACCTAGCTGCTCATAGTGTTTGACACTATTTTTGAGTAATGCAATTATATTATTTGAGTATAACAAATTTAATTTAGAACTCCTGAAACATCAAGCTAATACTGTATTTGGGAAAGATTTTTAAACGTCTAAAATAAAGATACAATGCCCATTAAGAATGACTCCCCTTGGGGCTGAAGTGATAGCACAGCAGGTAGGGCGTTGCCTTGCACAGCCAATCTGGGTTTGATTCCCAGCATCCCATTCCCTGAGCACCACCAGGAGTGAATCCTGAGTGCAGAGCCAGGAGTAACACCTGTGCATCGCTGGTTGTGACCCAAAAAGCAAAAAATAAATAAATAATAAACAAATAAATAAAAGAATGACTGTCTTTCCAAGAAGATTGCTCCACAGTTGGGAGCCTGCCTCATGAGCTAGGGGAAAAGTAGCTGGGATAGAGAAGGGATCACTAAGTCAATGATGGTTGGAAGTTTCGCTCGGGATAGGAGACGTGTACTGAAAGCAAAGGACCAAACATGATGGCCTCTCAGTATCTGTACTGCAAACCATAATGCCCAAAAGTAGAGAGAGTAAACAGGAAATTGTCTGCCATAGAGGCAGGGGGTAGGGGGGATAGGGGTGGCAGGAGGGATACTAGGGACATTGGTGGTAGAAAATGTATACTGGTGGAGGAATGGATGTTCGATCATTGTATTGTATGACTGAAACTCAAAATAAATAAATAAATAAAGTTTTGTAACTATAGCTCATGGTGATTCAATAATTAAAAAAATGACTGCCCTTTAACTTTTATATACCAGCTAATATTTGATTAATAAACACGACATTTCAAAACTCAGTGAAGTAAAGTAGTAAAGTAAAGGCCCTCCCGTTGATCATCGATTTGCTCGAGCAGGCCTAGTAACGTCTCCATAGGAGACTTTGTTGTTACTGTGTTTGGCATATCGAATACGTCACGGGGACCTTGCCAGGCTCTGCCGTGCGGGCGAGATACTCTTGGTAGCTTGCCGGGCTCTCCAAGAGGGGCAGAGGAATTGAACTCGGGTCGGCCATGTTGGCTGCGTGCAAGGCAGACGCCCTACCCGCTGTGCTATCGCTCCAGCCCAAAGGTAAGGTAAAGGCCCTCCCGTTGATCGTCGATTTGCTCAAGCGGGTCCAGTAACGTCTCCATTGTTGTTACTGTGTTTGGCATATCGAATACTCTCGGTAGCTTGCCGGGCTCTCCGAGAGGGGCAGAGGAATCGAACTCGGGTCGGCCATTTTGGCCGCTTGTAAGGCGATCGCCCTACCACTGTGCTATCGCTCCAGCCCAAACTCTGAAATTCACCAAAATTTAAAAAAATTTCTTTGTACCTGTTTAAAACACTTTGACGTTTTACCATTAATTGCAACTATTTTAAAAGTTTTACGTTTAGTTTAACAATAGGCTAAAGTTTAAGGCTTCTATATATTTTAGATAAGAGAAAAAAATACTAGATTACAAATATGTTATAAAAATTTTTAATGAAAACATTAATCATACAAAAATTTAAATGAAAGAAACATAACTTACAATTCAAACAGATTTGGCATACAATTATTTCTCTTATCAGTCTGTTTTTATAAGAACTACTTTTGGTTGAAATCTACTTAGAGGATCATGGTAGTTAGAAATAAAAATAATGTACATAAAGCTCATGAGCTCTGTGCTCAGCACATACTGCTTAAAAATGTTAGTTTTTCTTTTATTATTACTTTGAAAAGACACGTACAAGTTTTATAAAACATGCTAACTTCAGTTTAAAGATTCTTATATGAGAAATAGCCATATATAAGTTATCTAGCCTGGCATTTTTCCCCCCAGCAATCATTTTTCCTTTGAGAACATACTAGATAAAAACTATTTAAGAACTAATAAAAAAATCTTCACTAATAAGCCAACTTGAAGAATCTAATTATATAACTCCGTATGATAACTTGAGATTTCTCAAAAGAGAATTGTTTTCTAAAAAAGTACAAAGTTACATGATCAAGAAAGTACCTTTTAATAAGTAATCAAAACATTGTGAAATATTCCTTAGTGCATATATGGCTCAGTTTCATCTTAATTTTACTTTCCCCTCAAAAAAGGTGGTTTAAAATATTACACGGAACAGCAATGTTATTAATACAAGGAAGAACAATGAACAGTTAACATGTTATTCTGTCACTAATTTACAAAATATTTTATGATTTCATTCATAAACTATTATAAACTCCAACTATTAAACAAAGACAGTTTGCCATTTCTAGTATACTAATTAGAATAAAGCTTAACATTTTGTATTTCTAACAACATCTGGAAGAGAACACAGAAATTAATGTGAATATGTACCATGTTCTATAATATACATTTTCTAATATTTTAAATTTAACAATTTATCAAAATCCAATCTGAGGTATACAGTAGCAGATAAAAATGTTTAATTCTCAGCAACAGCTATGTACCATGCAAACACCACTACCACAACTGCACATACTGAAAGGAGATAGTATCTGTATTTTTGCCATAGTGTTACTTCAACTGTCACTTCATCTCTCTTCCTGTTCTTCTTCCGACGACCCTTCAGTCTATTTTCAAAAGCCTCCAGTTCAGCCTAAATCAAAACATATTATTTTTATTATATTTGAATGCACACAGATTTAAAACTTCCACTTGATGCTTATCTAATCACGCAATCAACTAGAGAAATTTTTAATGGTAACAGTCATTAGATAACTTATAAGCTCTTTTTTATTTTAAACTTCTCAAGTGACCAGAGTGATGCACCACAGGGGCTAAAAGCACTTGCCCGGTATGCTGCTCACCCAGATTCTAACCCTGGCACCACATATGTTGTCCCCTGAGCACCAGCAAGAGTATAGAGCAAACCCTAGCCATGTGTGGCCCAAAACTGTCCCTTCCCACCAAAGAAATTAAAACAACCTGGAAAATCTAGGGCACTTTGGTGGTGATGAAGCTCCAATAACTTTGAACATCAAAACCATACCTCGTGTCCAAATAATTACTATCAATAATGCAAACAAATATAAAAGCTGAGTATTTTGTCTACTTACCTGTTGTCTTCGTTTTTCCTCTTCAAGAACAGCTTTGGCTTCTGCCTCTTTTATCTATAGACATTTAAGTGTAAGCAAACACTACGATTACTAATTTTATGTAGAATTTTTCACATCTTCCTACCAAGACTACACTAATCTGTAACAATTTTGTGAACATTATTTTAAAAATTATTAAAAAGCAATGTATGTTATACTGAGAAATAATATCAACCAAGATACAATATAGTATAGGATGAAAGAGTTCTAACACTGCAAACTAAAACACTTTTTAATTAAAAATGGAGCTTTTTCTCTTCAGTCACTAAACTAAGAATCTATGTTGGGGGCCAGAGAGACAGTACAGAGTTGAGGTTTTGTCCTACATCAAAGTGACTTAAGTTTGATCCCCAGCACCACATAATGGTCTCCTGAACACCAACAGGAGTGTCCCCTGAGCATAGAGTCAGGACTAAGCCCTGAGCACCACTTTTTATATAGGTTCAAAACAAAAAATGAAAAAAAAAACATAAAATCAATTATAAAATGACACTTTTCAGCTGATTTGAAGTTGACCATTTACCTTAAATGGTTGAAGAGGCAAACAAGTAATCAGTAAGAAGGGGTAACTCAAACAGTAAAAAATTCTTATACTAATTTACCCTAATTTTCCGTAATTTTTTTTCTAGCTTAAAACAATACTAAAATGAATTACTACGTCCCATAATACATTCACTAGTACAGAGGATAAAAAATCTAGTACACAATAGATAATAAAACACAATGAAAGATTCAAAAGCGTCCTATGAAACTACTTTTCTTGTAAAACAAAAAGGATACTTTTTTTATACACAAAGAAATTCATGAAACAAGCAAAAGGCCTTGAGCATGAGAAAAATGTAAACACAGCATTACCTCAGATGCTTTCCGTTTCATTTCCTTGCATGTTTCGTCACACTCTATTGAAATCTGATTTTCACGTACTTTGTTACACTGTAATTCCTACAAATAATTTTTTATTAATTTCAGATTTTTAAGAGTTTTTCCTTAAGTTCTAACTGTATGCTTTAAAAAATTTCCAGAACAGCTCAAGGTTAAGCAAACTAATAGTCATGTTCATTAATATTTAAGAACCATAACTGCATTAAATACATCGGTTCAAGCAATTACCTTATTTTCTTTTAATTACAAAAAAAGTACCAAAAAATTGAAATTATTCATCTAAGAATTATTTACTGTCACTATCAACTAGCTTATAATTTTATTTCTTTATTGTTTCTTCTTGTTCTAATGCTTCCAGGGAATAAGAGGTTCCAGAGCAATATAATCCAACACAGTTTTCTATAATAATGAAGCTCTAAATTTTCACTTCCCAGTAATCATATATAATTATTGATCATTCCAAATGTGGCAAGGCCAGCGATTCAAGGAACTAGATGTCTAATATTATTTAGGGCCAATTCATTCAAATTTGGCTAGTAGCTACCAATTCACACAGAGCAGCTAATAGGGTTTTCTGGAAAGCTACATATTTTACTCTCTAGTAAGCCTTTTATTTTTAAATGTATAAAGTTCTAGTGTTTATATTTTCAGTTTGCAGTCTCCTGAATGAAATGAATCTATTTTCGATGACTTGATATACAATATGCAACTTGTATACTGTGTCACTGTCACTGTCCTCCCATTGTTCATTGATTTGCTCGAGCGGGCCCAGTAACGTCTCCGTCATGAGACTTGTTGTTACTGTGTTTGGCATATCGAATACGTCACAGGTAGCTTGCCAGGCTCTGCCGCGCGGGCAAGATACTCTCAGTAGCTTGCCAGGCTCTCCAAGAGGGGTGGAGGAATCGAACTCAGGTTGGCCATGTTGGCTGCATGCAAGGCAAACGCCTTACCCGCTGTATACTATGCTATATAAATGGTTATTTTAAATACTTTTAAATGTCTTGTAGATCTCTCATCTACTTTTAATTCATTCTATTTTTTGCTCATAAAGTCTTTCGTTCTAATTGTACTTGTATTTATATCAATTCCTACTTTTCCACCAGACCCTTAGACTACAGACTTTTAGTTCTACCAGGTTAAGAAATCAGATCACTAAATCCTACGAACAAAATAAATATACTTAAATGAAAATATTTTGTTAACTTGAGGATTAGCCTCTTGTTATTTTCAGTTAAGGCAAATACAGTTTTTCCCTCCAAGGATAGTCCAGACAAAGGCAAATACAGTTTTTCCTTCCAAGGATAGTCCAGACAAAGGAAAAAAACTAGTATAAAAACATTAAAGATAAGTCATGTGTGGGAGCCAGACACTTAGGTCAGTGGTAGAGTCCAGGCCTTGCAGGTAAGAGGTCTGGGATTTACTCTAGGGCAAAAAAAAAGAAGTAGCACTCTTCCCAAGAGAATCAGGGGAAGGACAACCATCCCAAATAAGGAAATGTAACAAAGAATTAGTATTACTAGTTCTAGTAAGCAGAGCAGTAAAGGGGGAGTGGGGGAAGAAACTTTATAGAGAGAATACATATAAAGATATAGACTCAGATTAAAGACGACACAGGATATATATTAGGATAGGAGCGATAGCACAGTGGTAGGGTCTTGCGCACAGCCGGCCTGGCCAAGCCGTGTTCGATTCCTTCCTCCCCTCTTGGAGAGCCCAGCAAGCTACTGAGAGCATCTCGCCAGCACGGCAAAGCCTGGCAAGCTACCCGTGATGTATTCAATATGCTAAACACAGTAACAGGAAGTCTCACAATGGAGACGTTACTGGGCCCGCTTGAGCAAATCAATGAACAATGGGTGGACAGTGCTACAGTGCTACAGAAATAGATTCACAAAGACAAATGCTAGGGGATGTGACTAGAAAAGGAGGTAGAGGTAGTACCATAGATTCTCATATATGCCTAATGTTTCTTACAAAGAACTTTTTCCAAAAGTGATGAAAACCCACGGAAGAACTTAGATCCAAGAAGTAATTACTGGGACAAGAAAATCTGCTCAAGCTTTAGTCAAAGTTGAAGATAATTTACTGACAAAATTCTAATGGATGGCAAATTGCACTTGGACAGCAACTTGAGATTTGGGGGGCGGGAAGGGGGGGGATATATCTCAAGTTAAAAATGTTCTTACTATAGATTCACATGTAAAAGTGGCCCAACTGAAATATTTAAAATGTAATTCCAGAGGATATGAAGACTACAAATGTAAACCAGTATTTATCTATCTACCCAGTAACTGAAAACAGGAACTGTGAAAATAAAAAGCAAAGATTCTTAAAAAACATGGATGAAATAGTGAATTTAAGGAGAAAGAAAAAAAGACTAGTCCCATAGAATGATAACACAAAGGGGAAAAATGTAGTCACAACTATAACTGAGGGGGGTAAAAAGAGAAGTCAAAAAAGAAAACTTTAAGCAGCTCAGATTGTAAAGAGAGATGTTAAAGAAAATGAGAACTGGAAAAACAGCATTCAATCAACTGAGATCTCAGAGTTTGAGACTCTTCATAAAGTTTGCTGAGTGGTTTGCAATTTATTTCTTCAGAGCTACCAATAGTTTTGTTATTCAATTCCTTTGTTACAACTGCATTATCTGAAAACTAACTCTCTTCAAGTTTGAATGCTATTTTGTTTCCTATAAAACTATGTGAGTTATTTTTAAGGCAACATTTTCAAAACCTAATTCTGGTAACAAAAACTTTCAAAAAAAACAGCAAAGATTAATCCCAGCGATTTTTAAAATCATAAAACTCACTTATCACTAACACTGGGCTCCTGGTACAAAGCACTCAAAATATAGAACACAGATTGTATCAGAAAAACAATACTGAACTCAGTTTTAACCATTTTTATTGCTAACTACCAGAAAACTATACTTTCAAAAGTGGTAAGTCATATGCAGATATATGCAGAAAGACAGACTAATACAAAGCTTTCAAGATATAAGATCTTAGAGGATGGGGGTTAGAGAGACAGTAGAGTGGGTAAGCGCTTGCCTTTCTCACAGCTGACCCAGGTTCAATCCCCAGCACCCAATATGATCCCCTGAGTCTGCCAGGAGAGATACCTGAGTGCAGGGCCAGGAGTAAAACCTGAGCTTAGCTGGGTATGACCCGAAAAGCAGGGTAGAAAAAAATGATATAATAAAATTAAAACAAAAAAAATCAAAAGAACAACCAAAAATACATAGAAAAGTATTTTCAGTAAATATTTACCTTTTTAATTCTTTTACAAGGACATCTAAGTTTTACCTTCTGGTTGCAATTAAAGGGACATTCACCAGGATGGCACATCTCCTTGCATCTATGACCACAAGGAAGCTAAAATAAAACCAACATAAAGCATTACATACTTAAGGTTTCATCATAATCTATTCTATCTTGACTTCCCTGCGATCAGACCCTGGAGGCCAAGAGACACCACTGAGTTTCCTATTTATTGTGTATAATTAGGTTTTCAACGATGTACATGTGGCAAGCCTTTTTAAAAATATATATAAAAAAATTTATCTATTCTCCCCATGGGCTGGAGCGATAGCACAGCGGTAGGGCGTTTCCTTGCATGCAACCAATATGGCCGACCCGAGTTCGATTCCTCCGCCCCTCAGGGAGCCCGGCAAGCTACCTAGAGTATCTCGCCCGCACGGCAGAGCCTGGCAAGCTACCCGTGACGTATTTGATATGCCAGACACAGTAACAACAGTCTCCAATGGAGACGTTACTGGGCCCGCTCGAGCAAATCGATGATCAACGAGAGGGCCATACACATAATAGGAATAGAATTGCTATGTGACCCAGCGATACCAATTCTTGTCATCTATCCCCAAAATGCAAAAGCATTAATTCAGAGGCCCGAGTGATAGCACAGTGGGTAGAGTGTTTGCCTTGCATATGACCAACCCCAGCTCAGTCCCTGGTTTCCCATACGGTCTCCTGTGCACAACCAGGAATGATCCCTGAGCACTAAGCCCTGAGCACTGTATATGCCCCCCCCAAAAAAAAGAGAAGTTACCTGATACCCCAACCCCCTCCCAACTGAGGGACATTTCCCATTTGTCTGTGTGTCCCTTATTTGCACCTAAAGTATCTCGCCCACACGGCAGAGCCTGGCAAGCCACCCGTGATGTATTCGATATGCCAAACACAGTAACAACAAAATTTCCAATGGAGACGTTACTGGGTCCGCTTGAGCAAATTCTCCCCATAAGAGTGATCTTACATCAGTCTTGTCACTTGTTATACTCACACAATTAAGTTTTGATCAAGTTCTGACCAATGGCATGTTTTAAAATTTATCTACTATAAATCTGCAATATTTTGAAAAAGTTATGTCTGTCAGTTCACTGTCCTCCCATTGTTCATGGATTTGCTTGAGCGGGCACCAGTAACGTCTCCACTGTGAGACTTCTTGTTTTTGGCATATCAAATACGTCACAGGGAGCTTGCCAGGCTTTGCCGTGAGGGCAGGATACTCTCAGTAGCTTGCAGGGCTGTCCAAGAGGGACAGAGGAATTGAACCCGGGTCAGTCTCGTGCAGAGCAAATGCTTTACCCACTATGCTATCGCTCCAGCCCAAATATGACACCTCTGCCATGTTATTGCCTTCATAATGCCCTTGACTCGTTCATTCAGACTGAAAAAGGTTATATTAAGTTGAAATTATACATTCCTTGTGACCAAGAAATAATATTATATGCCTACAGAAATCTATGTGCATACATACCAGAAAACATACGTGCGTAGTTTAATTTTGCTAAAAGTCAACATTACGTATCTTCATCTGTGCTCAAGTATATAGTATTGTCACATCTCAGAATCTTTGAGGGCCACGAGGTAGCTCAAAGGACTGTAGTACATGCCTAGCATGTGGAGGCCCTAGTTTGTTCTGGTGGTCCCAGTACCACTAAGTGTGTCCCTGATAGAGACTAGCAGGCTAAGCAGAAAGACTGTAAGTGGGAATGGACCCTGAGCCAAGTGAGAATTTGGGAAATCCCCTTAAAAAAATTTTCAAGTCCCTATCTAACCACACATTTCTTCCTTCTCCTTTGTTAACCACCATGTCTTTTACAGTAATAATTTATTTTAATTTATAGTTTCTCCTATTTATTTGTATATCCAGAAACAATACTGATTTTTTACCTAACTTTATATTAAAAGACCAATGCTTGAACGTGAACAAGTTGGCTAGTTCCAAATTATGTTTGCCATTTTTATTGCAAGTGACTGCAGTCCATACAAGGAAATGCTAAGTTGCAAATTAGCCATTGCTGAATTATCATATTCTATATCATACCAAGGTACTATTAGAGCAAATATTAAACACTGACACATTAATTTTTTACCTGAAATATGAATCTGTACAAAAGAAAATTTATTTTAACAAGAGAAAAGTCAGGATTTGAAGAATTTAGAAATTAAATTTGAAATATCACACAGCCAGGGTTTTGCTTCTATAAAAAAGAGAGGACTATTAAGATAATCATTTTTTTTACATGAAATTGTATCCTTTCTTAAAAACCTTAAATGTTAAAATTCCCAGATTCCCACAATGAGTAGGCAAAAGTACATAAAAATGTTGGAAGTCTTAACTAAAAAGAGGCACTGCAGCAGAAGACATGCTATGCACTATTATTTTTAAAATCCTGCTGTTTTCTCTTCCTGAGTTTAAAGATCAGAAACACTTTGATAAGTATATAAAGACAAAGAATTGAAGAAATGCTATTAGTGTTACCAAAAATCTAAAAGACTTCTTTGTAAGCTGCCACCCAAATCTAATGGGCTCTACCCCTGTGACCAACAACAACAAAAAGTAGCCTTGAACATACGGGCTACTTTGGTTTCTCAATTTTTTGCCAGAATAAACAATAGTGAGTTATTACCCCTGAACAATTTTGGGCACGCTTTATGGGTGTATTTTTAATTTAAATCAATAATATAAAACCATCAGTCTTAAAACAAAAAAACCAAAACTTCATAGCACAGCGGGTAGGGCGTTTGTCTTGCACATGGCAGATCCAGCCTACCCAAGTTCGATTCCTCCGCCCCTCTCGGAGAGCCCAGCAAGCTACTGAGAATATCTCACCCGCATGGGTAAGCCTGGCAAGCTACCCATGATGTATTCAATATGTCAAACACAGTAATAACAAGTCTCACAATGGAGACGTTACTGGGCCCGCTTGAGCAAATTGATGAACAACGGGAGGACAGTGCTACGGTGCTACATATAAGAATGCTGACTAATTCAAGGCAATATTTTAAAATAACCTAATAGCAATTAACTATCTACTATGGCCCAAATAGTTATTATTATATCTTATGTCTAAATCATACTTAGGGGCAAATAAGCATTAACTAAACATTTTCTTTCCGTAATGGTTTAGGTATTTTTGAAATTGCTTTTGAAGAGAAAAGTTTTAAAGACTAGGGTCATTCTAGTTTTAGTACCCCCAAATGTCATAAAAAGATGTGCACCAACCTTGACCACATAGATTTTATAAACATGTGCTCTAGACCCATCTCCAGAAAGCACATAAAATAGAACAACTAAAGATGGGGAAAAAAAAGAACAATGTCCAAGAAAATAACTTAAAATGTTCTATTAAAGCTTACCTCTTTAGGACACTGATTTTTGCAACAAATAAGGAAATTCTTTTCATTAACATCAGCTGTGGTTATTTTTCTAAAAAGAGAAGGTTTGATGACATTTAAATCATTTTACAGCATAGTTTCCCAAAACTACCCACAATTTTAATCAAGGCAATAAAATGATTTCAATTCACTTTTTAGAGAACTATTTTAATTGTCTATGACAATTATCTTCAAATTACTTTAGCAATTGATACTGCATAGTATCAATAAATTAAATACCAAAGGGGCAATCTCCACAAGAAGGAAATACAAACACTGTGTTCCTGGTCTCTTTTTTTTAAAAAAAAAAATTTATTAGTGAAACACCATGAGGTACTTGTAGACTTACAAATTTTTGTGCTTGGGTTTCAGTTATACAATGATTGAGTACCCATTCCTCCACCAGTGCCCATTCTCCGCCACCACTGATCCCAGTATCCCTCCCACCCCCCAGCCCCCCATCCCACCCTGCCTCTGTGGCAGGGCATCCCCTTTTGTTCTCTCTCCTTTTGGGTACTGCAATTTGCAAAAGAGGCATTGAGAGGCAATCATATTCAGTCTATAGTCTACTTTCAGCATGCATCTCCCATCCTGGGAGGATCTTCCCAACACCCTTTATTTGGAGGATCTTCCCAACACCCTTCTCTAACTGAGCTGCCTTTTCCCCTAGCGTGTGCGGCTGGCCTCCAAGCCATGGAGTAAACCTCCAGGTACCTATCTCGGCTGTTCTTGGGTGTTGGTCTCCTATTTTGTTACTTTATGTTCCCCAGATGAATGCAATCTTTCTATGTCTGTCTCTCTCTCTTTCTGACTCATTTCGCTTAGCATGATACTTTCCATGTAATACCACTTGTATGTAAATTTCATGACTTCATCCTTTCTAACAGCTACATAGTACTCCATTGTGCAGATGTACCAAAATTTCTTTAACCAGTCATCTGTTCTCGGGCACTCAGGTTTTTTCCAGATTCTAGCTATTGTAAACAGTGCTGCAATGAACAAACAAATGTAGATGTCACTTCGACTATACTTTTCTGCCTCTCTGGAATATATTCCCAGGAGTGGTATTGCTGGGTCAAATGGGAGCTTAATTTCTAATTTTTTAAAAATTTTTTTTTAATCAATGAAACACCATTAGGTACAGTTGTAGACTTACAAATTTTTGTGCTTGGGTTTCAGTTATACAATGATCAAGTACCCATCCCTCCACCAGCGCCAATCCTCCACCACCACAGGTCCCAGCATCCCTCCCACCCCCTATCCCACCCTGCCTCTGTGGCAGGGCATTCCCTTTTATTCTCTCTCTCCTTTTGGGTCCTGTGGTTTGTAAGAGAGGCACTGAGTGGCAATCATGTTTGGTCTATAGTCTAATTTCAGCATGCTTCTCCCACCCTGGAAGGATCCTCCCAATACCCTTTATTTGGTGCTCTCTTCTCTATCTGAGCTTCCTTTTCCCCTAGCACGAGTGGCTGGCCTCCAAGTCATGCAGCAAATCTAATTTTTTTTTAAGTATCAGTAAGCTTTACTAATTCTCCAGCATATCTCTATATTAAGGAACACATAAATACACATGAACACACAAACGCATTTTTCTATTGAGGTTCCAGTACCATGAAGATTACATGTTTTTTTTTCCATTTTTATTAGTGAAACATCATGAGGTACAGGTATAGACTTACAAATTTTTGTGCTTGGGTTTCAGTTATACAATGACTGAGTACCCATCCCTCCACCAGTGCCCATTCTCCACCAGCACTAATCCCAGTGTCCCTCCCAACCCCCATCCCACCCTGCCTCTGTGGCAGGGCATTCCCTTTTGTTCTCTCTCTCCTTTTGGGTGCTGTGGTTTGCAAAACAGGCATTGAGTGGCAATCATGTTCGGTCTATAGTCTACTTTCAGCATGCATCTCCCATCCTGAGAGGATCCTCCCAACACCCTTTACTTGGTGCTCCCTTCTCTATCTGAGCTGACTTTACCCCTAGAGTGTGTGGCTGTCCTTCAAGCCATGGAGTAATCCTCCTGGCACCTATCTCAGCTATTCTTGGGTGTTAGTCTCCTATTTTGTTACTTTATATTCCCCAGATGAATGCAATCTTTCTATGTCTGTCCCTCTCTTTCTGACTCATTTTGCTTAGCATACTTTCCATGTAGTACCACTTGTACCAAGATTCAGAGACTATAAAAAACCAGCTCCCGGAACAGTGCAGTCTCCTGCCCCCGCGCCTGACTGTCCTCGCCGCCGGGGCCCCTTGGAGGGGAGCGGGTTGAGCTTTCCTCCCCGCCCCGATCAGGGCTCCGGCAGCCAAAGACCTCCAGGACCAGCCACCACCATGCTGAGACCACTCTCCGCACACATGAAGGTACTGGCAGAGGGACAAAGTCACACGGGTTCCGGGGCTGAGATCTCCAAGCCTACTCGAATTTGGGCCGAGCATCCTCCACCCAGATCCTCCAAATTCCACTAGGCGGGGGTCACACCCACCAACTGGCCCCCTGGCGCCGTGTAATCCCATCAGCGGCCAAGACTCAGAGACTATAAAAGCCAGCTCCCAGAACCGCACGGCCACATTCTCGGCCGCGCATCTTATTATGACATCTTATTATCTCATTCCTACTTTGGACAAACTGGCAGGCTACCGAATGTAGCCTGCCCACACGGCAGAGTCTGGCAAACTCCCTGTGGCGTACCCAATATGCCAAATACCAGTAACAATGATGGGTCTCATTCTCCTAAAGAGCCTTGAATATAATCTCAGGGCTAGGAAGAAAGAGACGTTACTGGGGCCTGCTCGAGGCAATCGACGATTAACAGGATGATTTGTGATTTGTTTGTGATTGTGACCACTTGTATGTAAATTTCATGACTTCATCCTTTCTAACAGCTACACAGTACTCCATTGTGCAGATGTACCAAAGTTTCTTTAACCAGTCATCTGTTCTCGGGCACTCAGGTTTTTTCCAGATTCTAGCTTTTGTAAACATTGCTGCAATGAACAAACAAATGCAGATGTCACTTCGACTATACTTTTCTGCCTCTCTGGGATATATTCCCAGGAGCAGTAATGTTAGGTCAAATGGGAACTCAATTTCTAATTTTTTGAGAATTGTCCATACTGTTTTCCAAAAGGGCTGAACCATTTGGCATTCCCACCAGCAATGAAGGAGTGTCCCTTTCTCGCCTCATCTGTGCCAACACCAGCTGCTTTTGTTCTTTTGGATATGGGCCAGTTTCTGTTGTATTAAATGATATCTCATTGTTGTTTTGATCTGCATCTCCCTGATAATTAATGATGTAGAGCATTTTCTCATGTGCCTTTTTGCCATTTGGATTTCTTCTTTGAGAAAATCTCTGTTCATTTTATTGCTCCATTTTTCATGGGGTTGGATGTTTTCTTCTTGTGGAGCTCAACCAGTACTTTGTATATCCTTGATATCAACCCCTTGTCAGATGTGTATTGGGCAAATATCCTTTCCCACTCCGTAGACTGTCTTTGTATTTTGGTCACTGTTTCTTTGGAGGTGCAGAAGCTTCTTAGTTTAAGATAGTCCCATTTATCTATCTGTTTTCACTTGCTTGGCCAGTGGTGTGACATCTTTGAAGATACCATTAGCTTCTATTTCATGGAGGGTAACTTTTTAGCTTTTCCCCCTGGTCTTTCCTTTAATAGTTCTTTTCACTATCTTTCTCTTTAGATGAAACTTTATTCATAACTTCAGGATGAAGTTTAACGTAGTAAATATACAAGGTAGTATTTTTATATTTGTTATTAAGTTGTCAGTTGTGGGGCAATACCCAGTGATGAGAAACCAGGTGGTCCTGGGGTTGGTAGTGACACATGGCACTGAAAATTGAAGTCAGTATCTCAAATTTGCTGCTTTGCATATCCCTGGCCCCACACGCTTATTTTTAATGATGCATACCCTTAAAACTTAAAAAATCCCCATCATAAAAAAAAAAAATCCCCATCATACATGGCAGTTTTCCTTGTCACTTTTCTTCTTTCCTTCATTCTTCCTGCTTTTCCTGCTTCCCTTCACTGATGGATATCTATGCCCAAATATACCTAAATTTTAGCCACTAGTATCAAAACAACTATTTTAAATGTTCATATAAAATTATAAATGTACTGTAAGAAAACATGTAATTTTCTTTTTAAAATTTCACTAAATATCAAAGTTTTTATGCTGGGTCAACTATAGGCTGAATATGTTCATTCTTACAAATACAGTATTCATCTTGAACTTAAAACTACACTTTGTTCCTGGGTGTTGAGAGGATCCTCCCAGGATGGGAGAAGCATGCTGAAAGTAGACTATAGACCGAACATGATTGCCACTCAATGCCTCTTTTGCAAACCACAACACCCAAAAGGAGAGAGTGAACAAAAGGGAATACCCTGCCACAGAGACAGGGTGGGACGGGGGGAGGGATACTGGGACCCGTGGTGGTGGAAAATGGGAACTGGTGGAAGGATGGGTGTTTGATCATTGTACAATTGAAACCCAAGCACAAAAATTTGTAAATCTACAACTGTACCTCATGGTGTTTCACTAACAAAAATTAAAAAAAAAAAAAGAGAATGATGGAGAATGGGCACTGGCGGAGGGATGGGTATTGGATCATTGTATAACTGAAACCCAAACACAAAAATTTGTAAGTCTACAACTGTACCTCATGGTGTTTCACTAATAAAAATTTTTAAAAAAACCTACACTTTATTCTTATAACTATATGTAGGAATACATACTCTTCAAAATAAGAATTTTTTATATCACATTTCTATAGAAGAAATTTTCTTAGAGCTAAAAAGTTATGAATGAATGAAAGACATGAAATAGTATACTAAACCTTTCAAAGTAAGTGAAACAAACGTAATAATGACTATAAGAATTCTATATAAAAACATATACCTATGTATTTAAGGAAAAAAAATTCATCTCTGGATAGCTAAGGTAATGGAAAACAGCACAATCCAAACATATCCAAAACTTCCCAAGAAATCATTCAAACTCATTAGTAGCAAATAAAATAACTCAAATCCCATAGCCTAGCATAAATGAAACAGAAATTCTATTAAACTTCAAATTGCTGTTGAGAATGAATCAAAAAACCAATTTCCAGTAATAATATTCTCCAGCCCCCATATTAAATTTCAGAAAACTGGAGTTCTGGAGTTCTGGAAAAAAACAGAAGAAAAGAAGGGAACTAAGCTAATACCACACCAGAAAAAAACAAACCTCAAATAGGAAATAAAGTCCTGGCAGATCGGAAGTAAAGGGAATAGACTTTAAAAAGTACACAAGGGCAGAATTCTTCTGGACCCCATGCAAGGCAGAGTCATTTGGGGCACCCCAGATTGGAGGTGGGTGAGCCCAGTGCCCGCACAAACAGAACCCCAGCAGCTGGAAACCCACACACTCCACAATCACTGCCATGTTTCCAGACGACTTCACTGTTACAAGCCTCACCAGAAATTTATTTGTTAAAAACCTCAGGTATGAGGGTTTTGTGAATGAAATCTCCAGGCTTTCACAAAGTTGGGATGAGCTACACCTCTGTACTTCTGGAAGTTCAGGCAGTCACACACACACAACACACACACACACACACACACACACCAAAGCCACCCAGTTAAAAATTTAACTCCAGTTAACCACCCATTAAAATTTTTTAACACACACACACACACACACACACACACACACACACACACACACACACACACACCAAAGCCGCCCAGTTAAAAATTTAACTCCAGTTAACCACCCATTAAAATTTTTGAACACCCTTGAGTTCCCCGCCTGCATGGCAGAGCCTGGCAAGCTCCCCGTAGCGTATTCAATACGCCAGAAACAGTAACAATGGAGACATTACTGGTGCCCGCTTGAGCAAATCGATGAACAACAAGAGGACAGTGCTACGGTGCTGCAGTGCTTTTTGGGTCATACCCGGCGATGCACTCAGGAATTACCACTGGCAATGCTCAGGGGACCATATGGGATGCTGGGAATCGACCCGAACATGGGTCAGCCATGTGCAAGGCAAGTGCCTTACCTGCTGTGCTACTGCTCCAGCCCCAGAGATACAACAATCTTAACTAACTTTCTTTTAAGAACATTTTTTTATCTTCCATTTAGCAAATTATTTGTAACAAGCAATATAAAATAAATTATTAAGGGCTTGCAATGCGGGCAGAACTAAGGGGTGGTTGAGAAAATTGGATATCATAATGGTAGTGGAAAGGTGCAACGGTGGTAGGATTGGTGTTGGAATATTGAATATCTGTAACCAAACTGATGACTTTAATACAGTCATAAAATGAAAAAATAACTAAGTAAGAAGTACACAAGAAAAAATGAGCCAATCTTGCAAACATAAGGCTTGAAAGAAAGTAGAAGGGAAAGGTACCCTTTAGATAAAGAAAAAAAAGTAGAGGGAAAATTTAGGAACCTGCAAGAATGAAGAAAACAACATCTTTCATCAGCATTCCTCATTATTACAGCCAAATTGACTTCTCAACTCCTTACTAAGCTTGTAATGCTGAAACTTGTAATATTTCCTATTTTTAATTCCAAAAAAAAATTTTACTATTTATAAAGAATAAAAGCTTGTACAATTTATGAAGCATCAAACTAGTCTGTAACAAAAACAAATTTAAGATTAATAGGCATTTTTTTTAAAAAGCATGAATGCTCAAAAAAATTAATTCCCAACTTAAACCTAAATAAAACACTTTAAAAAGTCCACATTACCATAATGCCCAAAAGGAAAGAAAGGGAGGGATGGAGGGAGAAAGAGAGAGAGGAAAAGTGCCCGACATAGAGGTAGATGCAGGGAAGGGGGGTGGGAGAGAAACTGGGACATCGGTGGTGGGAATCATACACTGGCATTATATGACTGAAATCCAACCATGAACATCTTTGTAGCTGTGTGTCTCACTGTGAGTCAATAAAAAAAATTAATTTGCAGTTAGAATTAAGCAGGGAAAGTACTCTACATTTCTTCCTTTCGAGTTATACTAGAAAATCTAGACCTCTAGAGTCTAGGGGACACAAAGAGGACCTTAAGATATACTATAAAGAATTCTGGATTATAAAAAAGACACCAACTGAAATAATTTTTGTAAAGCAAGTATTCTTCAGTCCACTTACCTACATTCCACATATAAATTTGTGATCTTGCAATGACATTTTATTCTAAGCATCTGAACACAAGGAGGACATTCTCCAGGGTGACATGGTAAAACACATGGATGAGGACAACCTGGCGGCCGTGACTTAGAGCACCCTTCTTCACACTGAAGGCATTCTGGGCCAGACTGACAAACAATGAAGGAGATAAGACACATAAGTACAAAAGGCTAGCATTTCTATATTCTGAAGTTAAAAAATTTATATTTCTAGCAAAAGAAAATACTTTGCAAGTCTTAAGACATAATTGCAACAGTGCAGGCTTCCATGCGTTTAAAAATTCAAAATGAAGATGACCATTATTCACAAAGATTTTTATTTCTACAAAGCTTATTAAACCAAACTGTGTCATCTCTAATATGGACTTGATTTCCTAAAGAATATCTACCAAACAAGGTAAATCACTTCTCAAGAAATAGTAGCAGAAAAAAAAAAATTCATTTCCACGCAACAACATGATCAGGGGCCAGAGCAATAGCAGAGCAGGTAGGGCATTGGCCTTACATGCAGACAACTCCAGTTTAATCTCTGACACCACACATGGTCCCCTGAGCCCACCAGGAGTGACAGGAATGATACCTGAGTGCAGAGTCAAGAGTAAGCCCTTGAGCACTTCTGGGTATTGTCCAAAACCAAAACCAAAAAAATTTAAAAAATGTTATCAACATCATCAACACACTGTTTAAGACTAACTAAAAATTCCCAAGGCATTTAATATTCAAAAGAAATTGCTCTCACCTTCCCTACAAGAAAACCATAGCGGGCAAAGAGGAGAAAAGACAGCAGGATATTTCAATTGATTTACAACTAAAATATATTTCAATACACTTAACATGAAATTTCATTGCTCTGGTGATATACTAATGTAACTAATATCTGGGCTGGAGCGATAGCACAGCGGGTAGGGCGTTTGCCTTGCATGCAGCCAACATGGCCGACCCGAGTTCAATTCCTCCGCCCCTCTCGGAGAGCCCAGCAAGCTACCGAGAGTATTTGATATGCCAGACACAGTAACAACAAAGTCTCCAATGGAGACGTTACTGGGCCTGCTCGAGCAAATCGATGATCAACGGGAGGGCCTTTACCTTTTTACTTTTAACTAATATCTATCTACTAAAGAAGGTTTAAGGTTATATATAGCAGAATAGATTACTTATCATACATGAGAAAAATGAAAGAACTATAGACATCGATACTAAGTTAAAAACTAAGAAAACTAATAATAATTCTAAATACAGCCACTATGACAAATTTATATCAATCAAATTCAAAGCCACATTTGACGTATAGAATTAAGAGTGGCAAATTTAAAAAATATTTTGAATTTAAAAAATATTAATTCAGCATTAATTGGCCAAGCATTGTTCTAGATACTGGAAACATGCATAATGCCAAATATTTCTGGTCTAAAGAATATACATTTAAGGGGCCAGAACGATAGTACAGCAGGGACCGACTCAGTTTTGATCCCTAGTAACCCATATGGTCCCCCAAGCACCACGAGGAGTAATTCCTGAGTGCATGAGCCAGGAGTAACCCCTAAGCATCTCTGAGTGTGACTCAAACAGCAGGTGGGGAGGGGGAGAAAACAAACCCTAAGAATATACATTTAAGTAGGTGAAAATGTCTTCATAAATGTTCTGGGGAAAAAAAAAAGGATACAAGAAGGAAGTCTGTCTGATAAAATTCATATATGACCAAAAATTGAGTCCAGTAAATCTTACAAATATGAAGTTTCAGAGAAAAGAACAAGTGCAAAAGGTCTCAGCTTTGTTATATTTAATAGCAAGAAGACAAAAATTGATAAGTAAGGAAGATGAGATTATATCACTTTTTAAGCCTAACAGGATGCTGTAAAGAATTTGAATTTTATTCTGAGTGGTTAAAATCTACTGAAGGGTTCTATGCAAGAAGATGACACCTAGCTTACATTTTTTAAACTGGCTCATGTTGACATCGAAAGAAAAAAGTGGAAGGTAACTCCAGAGGGCCAGAGAGATAAACAGTGGGTAGGACGCGTAACTTAAATGGGCCAACCAGGGTTCAATCCCTAGTACCTCATATGCTGCAAGTTTGCAAACAACACTGAATAGCAAAAGTCCATACATACATAATTAGATATGACACATAGGTGTGAGGATATATTTTATACTGTTTTCCTCTTTTACTTTTGGTGAGATTCCACCCCCCAAATTATCCTTATCACTGCTTTTCTTTTTTAGACATTCAAGAAATATTTGAATCTATGTGCCACTCTTATTTGCCATGAGCATTATATCTTTTCTATCAATCAGAGTCCAAACCACTACAGTCATTAAATAAGACAATAGAGAATTATAATAATGTTGCTAATGGTGTCAAGAGTCCAAATCACTACTTATTAAATAAGACAATAGAGAATTATGTGTTGCTATTGGTGTCAGAGTCATCACAAATAGTAACAGGGTTGACTGAACTGAGATCTCTGGGTATGGCAATGGACGAACAAAAGAGCAGAAACTAAAGTAAAAAGAGCCTGGATTCTGGTCAGTGGTAAATGCCTATTGAATAGGTGATATGTATTGAGCAAGGCTGGTGACTGTTTTTGAAGAATAACTATTTATTTAGAATGTTTGGGTCACTCACACGCAGCAATGCTTGGAAAGTCATATACAGTGCTGAGGTTAATTAAACAAGGACCACCCACAACATGTATAGCATGTGCTTATTAGCTTGTTGATCTATCTCTGATCCAGAATTAGCTTTTAATACTGTCATGCATTACAATTACCAAAGGTCAAGTGCCATGATTATATATAACTTTATATTTTGGGGGGGTTGTTGTTATAGGTCACACCTGGTAATGATCGGTGCTCATGGTTCACGCCTCAGGTCAGCCACAAGTAAATGCGTGCCTTAATCCACTGTACTATCCCTCTAGCCCCCCCAAACTTACAGATTTAATGTTACTTAATAAATAATCCTTAAAATTTTTAGCCAAGTAATGCCTGGAGTAGCTTCCAGGCCCTAGAAACACTGCTTGTGAAGAGGCCCAACCTCCCTCCAAAATATAAGATAGTATCTTAAAAATCTTAATATCTAATCTGATTGTGGTTATATAATTTACTTGGCTGGATTTTTGTTATTTAATATCTTGCAAACTGGCAATATTTAGAGATCTTTAAATGGACGATTTTACATATACACTTAAAATACTTTAAATAAATTTCACAAACCTCCCCATTCTATGCTTGGGTGATACTTCTAACCAAAGGATAGAAATGTATTAAAATTGTAAAGATCATTAATTAATCATGTCGGACTTTTAAAACAATTCAGAGAAAATACTGTGGACTGAGCTCAGAGATATGGAGAGAAGTGAAAGTGATACTATTAACGACTTCTGTATTTTTAATCATAAAAATGAAAACCTGTGTATTAACATAGTACCACAAATAAAGGGCAAATTACTATGGGTAAATACAAAGATAAAGGAAAAAACATCATGACAATAAAACTGCTTTATCTTAAGGAATGAGAGAAATGAGGGCAAGAAAAAGAAGACAAATTAAAACTAAATTAGAGCAGAAAAGTGTTTATGGTACTTTCCTGAGTGGTTAAGTATCACTCAGTTGAGTTATACATATATGAACATATATATAAGCATATATACATATCTTATTATCTAGTTCTTACGCTGGAGAACCTGGCAGGCTACCAAAAGTATCCTGCCTACACAGCAGAGTCTGGCAAACTCTCCGTGGTGTATTCAATAAGCCAAAAACCAGTAACAATGCTGGGTCTCATTTTCCTGATCTTGAAAGAGCCTCAAATGTGGCACTTTCTAATATCTAAGGGCTAGGACGAAGGAGATGTTACTGGTGCCTGCTGGAAGAAATTGATGAACTTGTTCATGGCAGTGATACAGTGATACAGTGATACAGTGATACAGATGGCAGAGATACAGTGAAATACATTCAAGTTAATGACATTACCTTGTTTTTGTTCTTGCAGGCATCAATTTCAGTTACTTTATGGCATTCTTTCATACATGTATGATTCTGACAATTTAAGATTCGTCCACAGACTCTCTTACAAGAGTAAGGTCCTACTGCATAGCATGGAAGAGGGCTCACCTTTAAAAAAAAAAAAGAAAAAGAAAAATTAGCACAATACCTCTAGTCCTATGTTTCTAAAGTCACTGTCATAATTTGAGAAGTTTTACAAAGGCCTATTACATTATAACAAATAATAATTACTAAAGTCAAACAACCTATCAAAAAATATAAATGACATAAAAGCAAAGTATTTCATCCTAAATGAAAAATTCAATATAATGGTTCTGAGGTAAGTACATAAAATAAAAGCACTGCTCAGTTTTAAACTCAGAAGACTTATGTACTACTTATATTATAAAATATTGATTTTATTATTTCTAATTATCATAGCATAGGGCTGGAGCAGTAGCACAGCGGGTAGGGCATTTGCCTTGCATACAGCCGATCAGAGCTCGATTCCTCCGCCCCTCTCGAAGAGCCCGGCAAGCTACCGAGAGTATTTAGCCCACTGGCAAAGCCTGGCAAGCTACCCATGAGGTATTCAATATGCCAAAAACAGTAATAAGAAGTCTTAGAATTTGTTGTGAGACATTACTGGTGCCCACTCGAGCAAATCAATGAACAATGGGAGGACAGTGCTACATCACAGCATAAAAACAGAATAGAAGTTTTATTTAAAACTAGTGCTTGTAAATTACCTCATGTTTTCCAAGACATTCCCTGCAAGAAAAAAACAAAATAAAAACATTGCAGACTCTCCAAAAAAACATATCTAAAGCAATGATCATCTCTCTGATAGTTTGTTGAGAAAAAATAGCACATAAGGAAATAATGCTTATGGAAGGTTACATAATACCAACTTAATATACAAATGCCAATTGTTTCCCTATATACTAGCAAATAGGGACAGGAATTAAATTAAAATCACACACTATATTAGTACACACAGAAAGAAATATTTAGGTACTCAGGATTAAATATAACACCACAAATACAGTATCTGAGAAAAATGAGAAAACTTCGAAATGTTGATGAGAGAAATCAAAGACCTGAATGAATGGAGATTCCTTATGATATAATACTGTTAAGATGTTTTTCTTCCCACCTTATCTAGATTCAACAGACTTCCGATAAAAATTCCTGCAAGTGTAGGGTAACATTGGTTTATCCTTTCTCCCTGGCTGCAGGGAGTTTAGGTTTACCAGGTATTCCAGAGGCACTCCCATTCCTCTATGTTTGGTGGAATACAGCTCTATAAAACCCTGCTCCCAGAAGAGAACAGTGCAGAGTCTCCTTCCTCCGTGCCTGACTGTCCTCACCAGGGCCCCTCGGAGGAGGGTGGGTTGAGTTTCCCTCCCCACCCGGAGTAGAACCCCGGCAGCTGAAGACCTCCAGTTCCAGCCACAGCCATGCTTAAGACCACTCTCCACAAGCCTCACGCATGAAGGAACCGGCAGAGGAACCCAGGTGTGTGGGACCTGGGGCGTAGATCTCCAAGCCTTCTCGGATTGGGACTGGGCCTCCTCCACCCAGATCCCCCATCTTCCAGTATGTAGGCGTTACACCCACCAACTGCCCCCCACCCCAGCACCGTGTAATCCCATCAATAGCCAAGACCTAAAGACTAAAACACCTGCTCCAGAAATGCAGCCGCGCAACATCTTATTATGTGGTTCTTACTCTGGAAAACCTGGCAAAAGTATCCTGCCCACACGGCAGAGTCTGGCAAACTCCCCATGGCGTATTCAATATGCCAAAAACCAGTAACAATGATGGGTCTCATTCTCCTGACCCTGAAAGAGCCTCAAATGTGGCATTTCTTAAAATCTCAGGGCTAGGAGGAAGGAGACATAACTGGGGCCTGCTGGAGGCAATTGATGAATAACAGGATGACAGTGATACAGTGATAGCTCTAAACATTTTAGGCTTAACACTAGTTTATCCCTTCTCCCTGGCTGCAGGGAGTTTAGGTTTATTGGGTTACACCCATCACAATACTCCTGAGGCACTCCCATTCCTCTGTATTTATCTTTAACCTCTTCCCTGTGCTCTCTTCCACAACCAGTTAATCACCATTTTCCCCTAAGCAGTGCCTGTGACTTGTAAAGCCAAATTCCTCAGAAATCTCTGATTTGTTAGTGAAATATTGCTTTTCTCCTTCCCTTCTCTTATGTTCTCTTATAGTTTACTTCAGAGCAATGTCCTTTTTGTATAGACACAGGAACACAGTTAAGCTATGCTTCTGTAACTTGGAAGTTAATTGATTCTGAATAATAATTCACTCCTGGGCATCTGTTTTCTTGACTCAAGCTTCAGTTGCCCTTAGTTCCTAGCAACCCAAAAGCAGGGTCCCAATCAGGGACTGGATGGACCCAGGTAAAGTTGTGAGCTACCATATCTACCCCCCAAACTAGGAGCATATTCTAGTCAAATGCAAAGAAAAGGCTATTTGAAATTTAGTAATAACTATTTAATCCAATGATCTCAAGTAAAATAAGACATAGATGTTAATCTTACTGCAAGCACCTCAAAGTTACTGACTACAGTGCCTATGAATCCAAACATCAGTTTCTCTTCTTTTGCTGCTCTTTATGAGAAAATCTAGGTTACTGCTAATCACTAATAATGTAAATCTAGTATAAGACACCATAGGCAACTTGGTCTCTCGTAATCATACCATGAGACTGGTTGAATATATACATAATGTGGTGCAGAGCTAGCTAAGAGGTCAAAGACATGTATCTCTGAGTTCTAGCATGGCCCAGAGCTCTGCTTGACAGCCTCTCCTTCCCAAACCCCCACCACACCCATTCCCCATACACAAATATTTAAAAAAAAAATGGAAGTGAAAACTATTAACTGTAAAGAAACCAAGAGCCCACACTTTAAAAGACCAATAGAAACAAGACATTTTCAATATTTAATTGGGAATTTTAGTTATAAAAAACAGTCCCCCCCCCCTCCTACTTTACATGTCACTTTTCAATATGTTCTATTTCTTCTCTTGCAGTTTTCGTAACATTACTGAAAGTATCAACTGTGCCTGGATTTCCTATTACTCTAAGTTTCACTCCTTACAACTCATTTCAAATCATTTCTGGGTCATCCAAGAAACAACCTGCTTCCACTTTAAACGGGTACCTCAAAAACTCTCTCTCCAAAATCCCTTTCTAAAACCTCTTTTTCTCTTTCCCAAAGTTTACAGACTCAGTCTCAATCAAGAAGATTTTAATATTTAGGTATCAAAGGTATATTATTGTAATTATAAACACAAGTTTCAGCAAAAGCTTTAGGAAGAACATCCAACTCCAACTGGAGAAAAGACTTTAAAAATTAAAAAAAATTAAACAAAAGCAAGCACTAGAAAAGGTTTTTAAACATTATGGAAAAACATATTTTGAAGAAATTGGGGCTGAAGACAGAAAACAGTTGAGGGAAAATTATTTTACAGGCTAAGGTCGACATAATGATAAATAAAATGCGGAGAAGGTGAATTTAGATACATGAACTGTATCAACAGATTTTTTTAAGTGAAAATTCTAATGCTTACATAGGAATAGGAACTTGACATGGAGGACAAGGCAAAGCAGTCTGAATAAACGCTGGCTCAGAGGGCTGTTCCCAAGGAACTGTAGGCTGGTGCTACAAGTAAAATACAAATTAATTTTAAATCACAGGGATTTAATGATATGGTTACTGTAAGAATCTAAACAGTAGCTTCATTTATTCCATGTGGAAGCAGCTTAACATTTTTTTTAAGTAATCAACAAATTATATTTACTGAAATATTTATTCTACCCATTGCCTCTCATTACACACTGAATATTAAAAATTGAGGAAAGCCAAGATTTTTAATGGCAGAGCAAAAGCTCTGTAGCCTTGTTCACTTCACATAAACCAAAAGAATTGAGTAAGAAACAGAACCCTAAAGTTATCTCCCTAGCATCCACTAAAATTCTGAACACACAAGTTAAGAATTCACTATAATCAAATATGTGGTAACTATGATTCTAGGCCATGAAAGACTCCCAAATTCATCACTATCATTATTACAACATGATTATCACACTGCGTTTGCAAACATTTCTTTACTGGCTTTTCTCCTTTTCTAAAATATACGATCCTTAGAGCACATCATATTTACTACCAGAGAGCATACACTCAGTAAATACTCAATCACTGTTTGTTGAATGACTATCTAAATTAGGAAAATATAACATATACCAAATTCTGTTCCTTAATAATATTCCCTTACCTTGCCAGTTTGCTTTATTAGAGCTTGGTCATGACAAGGAGCAGGACATAAATGACCACATTTCTCCAAAACTTTTTGGCAAGACTGATGACAAGGTGGACAAGGGCCAAAGTGACAGCGATGTTTTTCTTGACTTGCATGATGGCAAGTTGAAGGTTGACTAAATCAAAGTATAATTTTCAAAATTACATTTTCTCATCTAATAATTATATTTAAAGTGTAATGTCTTATATTTATTTTCGTTTCATACCCCCAAAAAAGCACTCTATGAATATTACTTTTGTTTTTGTTTGGGGGCAACACCCAGTGGTGCCCTGGACTCTAGCTCTTCACACTCAGGGATCACACCTGGTGGGATTTGGGAGATCATAAGGAGAGCAGGGAACTGAACCTCGGTCTGTTGCATGCAAGATAAGCACCAAATTTGCCGTACCATCTCTCCATCTCCAAATATTAACACTTTAAAACAAAATTAAGTGGTATTCAAACTAAGTATTAAAGCAAAATTAAGTGGTATTCAAACTAAGTATCAGTATGAACTTAAATTTGTAGGACACCAGATCTAAATTTACACAAAATTGTATGCTAACCTGCACTGCTCTTTGCACTTGGGTGGTCTTGTGGTGCGTTCTCGGCCACAGGGTACGGTCACTTTTGTCTTACCACAATTACACTTCACATCAACGGTTTCTGGGCAAGGATAGCAACTGCCTGGAAAAAAAAAATCTGAAACTTAAAAATAAATTTTCTTAAAAACTCAATGTCCATCAATGCAATCAGTAAGTTCAGCACATGTACAAAAAGAAGATAACTCTAAAACAAGAATAAAGAAACTGTATGAATGATCATCACAACATAATACCGAGCCACAGAGCATACCACATAAGATTCTCTTTACGTAAAGAAAACAAAAAATTATAATGCTCCAAGTTAGGATGGTGGCTATGAAGATAAGGTGGTTTTTGAAAATGTTAATGATGTTCTGTTTAATGGGTTTTGGTTGCATAGTTAAATTCAGTTTGTGAAAATTTACCAAGCTGGGCCATGAGATAGCAAAGTTAAGGTGCATCTGTACCTAGGCTAAATTTTGATTCTCAGCACCACATGGCACCTTAAGCATTGCTAGGTGCCATCCTGGAGGCTCCCAGGCACCACCAGGTATGGCCCTGCATGCTCCCAGCACTGTCAAGGTGGTCCAGGTTTTCCCTCGTACTGACTGCAGAGCTCAAGCAGCATCACATCCTCAGGCTCTTCTACTGATCCAGTGAGCTGATGATCCAGTAACTGAGAAGAATCACTGGTTGGGGCCTGGACCTGGTGGGCTCTAGGTTGGGAGGACCCCCACCAAAACTTTATCAAGCTGAAGGTTTTTGATTAATATAGTTTTCTATAACAACACTAGTATTTCAATGGAAAGTTTTATGTTTCTTTTAAATTATTAAATTTCTACTAGAAGTAACAAATTAACATATTACTCATTCAACTACAAAACCAAAATGGGTCTAAGTCTTTGAAAAATCTAATGTTAACAATATATTCTTGGTTTATTCTCATGTAAACTTCATTCAATTATTTTCAAATAAATTCTCCCCAAACTACTACAAGGAGGAACAATCATAAACACATTATATGAAGACAACATTCCATGATCACTAACTAAACCAAATAAGGATAATACTCCCCTAAAAAACTAGAGAATTGCATCACTGAATAGATACAAAAATCCTCAAAAAAAAAAAAAAAAACCAAAACACCAAAACTTGGCAAACTGAATGCTGCATTTTATCAGAAGAATAATACATTCTGACCCAGTAAGGTTTATCCCAAGGATACATATCAATATTTGCAGCACAATAAATATAATCCATCCCACATCAACAAAAGATAATGTTTACATATAAACAGACGTTGAAAAAGCATTTTACAAGATTCAATATCCATCTGTAATAATAAAAAAGCTTCAATCAAAGTAGAAAGCTATTACCTTCAGCCTTTCAAACATATTAAAAGGTGAAAACAATATTTTCCCCAAAGATCAGAAGCAAAGTAAGAATACCCATTTTCATTAATGATATTCAAAATAGGCTAGAGAGCTATTAGGCAAGAAAGTGTGAAAGGAATCTAAATTACAAAAGAATTAAAAAGTAACTATCATTTTCAGATAGAAAATCCAAAAGATTACACACCAGAAAACCCTACTAGAAATTATAAACAAATTGGCAGTAAATAAAACCAATATATAAAGCTTACTGCATTTCTATCTGCAAACAATGAACCAGGGTGAAAAAGAAATTACAATTCCATTTACAACTGCATCATAAAGGATAAAATAGATACCTGAGAACACTATACACACAAAACTAAACACTTAAAAATAACAGGAGACACAAAGAAATGGAAAGATACTTATGTTCATGGATTTAAAAAATACTGTTAAAATGTCCATATTCCTAAATCAATATATAGTCAACATAATCCCTGTCAAAAACTTGGGTATTTATCCAGAAAATAAAGAACATATGCTTAAATTTATATATAAACACAAGTTCACAAATAAATAAAGCAATCCTGAAAGGAAAAATACTGAGGGATCAAAAGTCCTGGCTTCAAACTATCTTACAAAACGACAGAAATCAATGCAGCATAGTACTGAGCAAAAACGACAGGCACCAATAAAACAGAATAAAAAGCACAGAAATAACTTACACATATTAGGACAAAGGAGTCAAGTCCTTACAATGGAGAAAGGAGAATCTTTTTGACAGATCATAGTAGGAAAACTGGACAATCACATGCAAAAAATCAAAGTGAATCACTATTAAACATCATTTTAAAAAGTTAACTCAAAATATAATTAAAGACATATAAAATCTTTATAAAAGATAGGGGGAAAAAAACAGGTGGGGTTGGAGCAATAGTGTAAGTGTGTAGGGCATTCAACCCGCAGCATGCCATATGGTCCCATAAGCATTGCCAGGAGTAATTCCTGAGTATAAAACTAGGACTAATCCTCTGAAGACTGCCAGGTTTGGTCCAATCCCTGTGCCCCCCCTCCCAAAAAAAAGGAAGGAAAAAGAAACCCATCTCCCCTGGACTTGGACATAAAGATGTAAAAAATGTATCTGGAGACTCAACTTCAGTGGGAAGGGAAACAAAAATAAAGACTATATCAAATTTCAATTCTTTTACAAAGAAAACTAGCACAAAAACAAATGAGCAACCTAGAAAAGGGGAGATTTTGCACATTATACGTCCAACAAAGATATTTATATTATATAGATTCATACAACTTAACAAACAAATCTAATCACAAATGGTGCAAGGGGCCAGAGATACACCCTAGGGTGTATATGCATATTATATATATTTTCAACCCTAGTTCAATCCCAAGTACCTGAGGCTCCCCTGAATATTACCAGATATAAATATAGGGCTAGAGGCCCCAAAGCACTTCTGGGTGTGACTCTCAGGCGCATTTCCCCCTGAGCACTACCAAAGTGACCCAGGTAATCCCCAGCACCACAGGAAACTGTGTCCTCAAGCCCTCTTACTGAACTTCCAACCCAGATGGCCGATAATTACCAGGAGGGCCCCCAGGTTCCCCTGAGAACCACTTGAGAGGCGCGTCCACCCTACTCTCCAAATTGGAAAGAAATCTAGACACTTCTCCAAAGAAGCAATATGGATGCCCCATACAAACACCAGATAACCTCACCTCTAGCCACGATCCAGAGACTCCTTGTCTTTCTCTCTCAGAAGAGAGCATAAAACAACTCTGCCCAATAGCCATGCCACCGGACTCCATGCCCCGCTGTTTCATTTGTGGCACCCCGGAGCGGGGAGGGTGAGACCCCTCTTCCGCCCCAAGGAATCCAGCCCTGGCAGCCAAAAACCTCCAGAACTCAAGCACCACCATGCTAACGGCTGCTCTCCACATGCTCGGACATGCCTCACCCACGAAAGAACCCACACAACTCAAATTTCAAGAGTAGCACATAACATTTGATGGTGTTTAAAGTAGAATGCGACCAATCTTAGAGAGAAATATACTCTTACAGATTGCGTGCGCGCGCGTGTGTGTGTGTGTGTGTGTGTGTGTGTGTGTGTGTGTGTGCATATAAAAGCATACAAGGCTCAGGGGTTGGGGTACAGTGGGTAGGGCATTTTTGCCTTGCACACGGCTGACTTTGGTTCAATTCCCAGCATCCTATACGGTCCCCAGAACACAACCAGGAGTAATTCCTGAGTGCTGAGCCAGGAGAAACCCCTAAGCATCACTGGGGGTGACCCAAAAAGCAAAATAATAATAATAATAATAATAATATTTTTTAAAAATTTATTATTGTCTAGTTCTTGCTCTTGGAGAACCTGGCAGGCTACTGAGAGTATCCGTATCCTGCCCACACGGCAGAGCCTGGCAAGCTCCCCATGGTGTATTCGATATGCCAAAACCCAGTAACAATGATGGGTCTCATTCCCCTTACCCTGAAAGAGCCCCCAATGTGGCACTTGCTAAAATCTCAGGGCAGGAACAAATGGAGACGTTACTGGTGCCTGCCTGAGGAAATCGATGAACAACGGGATGACAGTGATAGTTAATTAGAAAAATTAAAAAAAAAAAAGCACACAAGGCTCAACCTTTAACATGTTAGTAATCTCTTATAAAAGGGCTTAATGGCCCTTGGGTGAAATACAACAATCTTCATACACTTTCTTCTAAGGAAACTTTTCTGGAGCATTTTCAGCGGTTTAATCATAACAAACAATAGCACTGTAGCATTGTAGCACTTTAGTCCCGTTGTTCATCAATTTGCTCGAGCGGGTACCAGTCACGTCTCCATTGTGTGACTTGTTACTGTTTTTGGCATACTGACTATGCCACGGGGAGCTTGCCAGGCTCTGCTGTGCGGGCAGAATACTCTCGGTAGCTTGCCGGGCTCTCTGCGAGGCACGGAAGAATCGAACCCAGATCGGCCGCATGTAAGGCAAATGCCCTACCTGCTATGCTATCACTCCAGTCCCCATAACAAACAGTACAAAATAAATTATTTTGGTTCTGCTTTGGGGCAGGGATTGGAATTCGTGATGAAAACATCCGAAATATGATGGTGGGAAGGAGGTGTAATGGTGGTGAGATTGGTGCTCGAATATTAAATGTAATCAAATGTATTTATAAAAATAAAATTAAATTTAAAAAAAGCAAAGAATAACCTATAGATTGGAACAAGTGTTGGTAAGATATGGATAAAAAGGAACTATGGACACTGTGACTGAGCATGTAAACTAGTACTGCCTCTATGGAAAACAGCATTGTTTCCTTATTACTAGAAAACTGAAACAGAACCAAGGATATGGCTCAAGTGAAAAAAGCACAAGATTAGCACATCACTGGTACAAGGTCACCTCAACGACCTCCAGATAAACCCTTGGTGACCCTTGAGCACTACCAGGAGTGGCCGCATGTCTAAGAACACTGGGCATCACCCCCTATTAAAAATAAACAGATGATAATATAAATATCATATGCTACAGCAATACCATTCCCAGACATCAACCAAAAGAATATGAAAGTACCATTCAAAAAGACACATTTGAATTACTACATTTGTAGCCACATTATTCATAACAGCCCAAACAAGGACTAAACCTAAATGCCCATTGACAAAAGACTGGATAAATGTGGTATATATACTCACTTTGTTAAACACAAAATATTAAATACTAAGCATTTCAAAATGTGAAGTTGTGATTTTTTTCAGACAACAGGGATGGAACTTGAGGTGATAATTCTAAGCAAAATAACTCAGAGAGCGAAAGGTACTTACCAGACAGTTTTCCTCATATGTAGAATATAAACTACATCAAATGAACTGATTAAATACAATACAAACCCTCAGACTTTAGAATATACAGATGAATACATAGGGGTAAAGAGAAATGACGGAGTAATGACTTTGTAGTATAATGCCCTACAACATCAGTGGTCCCATGAGACTTATATGCTGTACCCCTCCAATATTATAGTATTATAAACCAATAGTAAAGCAATAAAATGTGCACGAAAAATTAAAATGAGAAACTAAATACATTTAAAAACAAAGGAGGGAGAAATCTGACAACAATAATTAAAAATGTATTAACTTTCAGTTGCAATATAAATAGCAAGGTCATAAACAGTTAACACTGCTGTATGAAAGTTGTTAAAGTATGTATATTTTTAAGAGTTCTCATCACAATGTTTTTTAAATCTAAGATGATAAATATTAACTATACTTATTAATCATTTTATAATACCTGTTAACTCGTATGCTATATATCTTATACATAATGCTGTATGTCAATTTTACATCACTGTAAAACAAAAATGCTATATATCCCAATAAAACTCAAAAAAAAAGAAAAGCCTACATGAGAAATGCTGGGACGAATAAGCAAATAACATGGTGTCAAAGAAACTTTCATATTTAAGAGATAGACCTATATTCTACTGCTTTAAAGGTATTTTCCAGACTAAGTCAATAAATAATTGTCTTTAGCTTTAATTTCCATGTCCATGAAATCATAGTATTTGCAACTGCTCTACCTTCTCAAAGTTAAGGTGAATAACAAGGAAATGAATTTGGAAGTTCTTCATCAACTACACAGTATTATGTATATATAAAATTATTTTTAAATTTTACCTCTGTGGCAAACAGATGGACACTTATGGTTTCTACATCCTAAAGTCCGTCCACAATTTTGATCACAAGGTGGACAGTTCCCAGGACAACACTAAAGAAAAAGCAATATATAAAGAAAAAGTAACTTGATAACCATAGATTAATATGAATTTAGTTACTAATAACTCAAAGAATTCATTAAAAGCAAAAGACACTTGTTTGCACTAAGGAATAAAAATCAATGTAGTATCTACATTTTTATGTTAAACAGATATGCTGTATAAGCCTAAATATGCAGGAACAAAATTTAAGGAAATCAGCTAATTTTTCTTGTCCTTCAGTTAATTATTCCATAATTTGTAACATTCCCATAGAATGTTTTGATTTCCACTTATTTTTGCCAGATTGACATTAACCAAAGGGTCAATCTAGTTAAGTTCAGATGAATAATTATAATCTGAGCATTTTTTAAATTAAATCCAGTTTAGAAATCTGTATGGCAAATCATAATGCCCAAAAGTCCTTCATAAAGGCGGGGGATGGGGGTGCGGAGATAGTGGGAGGGGAAACTGGGGACATTGCTGGTGGGAAATGTAAGGGTGTGAAGGGATGGGTGTTGGAACATTATATGACTGAAACTCAATCATAAACAATGTTGCAATTGTGTATTTCACTGTGATTAAATAAAATAAATGAGTGAATTTTTTAAAAAAATTTAAAATTTTTAAAAAAAGAAAAAAACTTAAAACTAGTTTCATGTTTTGTGACTATTTTCACAGCCTGGAATCAGAAATTAACTGAAGGAAAGAAGTAGAGAAAAGTCATTTGTTTCTAGCTTTCTTAATGCTCTTATTTACTGAGCAATACACCTATAACTATGCCCCTTTTCATTCATAAAGGACATCTAACTTAAACCCATCATTCTTTCCTACCTCCACTCTTCTCATCTATCCACACTTAAGGAAGGTAACACAAACTATAATAGTTTTAAAAATACTTAGTTTTAATTTGTTTGCAATAAGTTTCAACGCATAAGAAGTTCAAGCAAAACATATTAAACAGGAACTAAAAACTAGAAGAGTTCAATTAGACAAATATTAGCCAATAACATGCACCTGTCATTTTGCCAGTGACAGCACAGGAAAAGATTGTTAACCATGACTTACAAAGACATTCTTGACTCTGATCATAATGGAATCACAATGACAAGATTGATTTTTTTGCCTCAAACAACTAGAAATTCAGAAAAAATATATGAAACAACAGTTTATTTGACATTAGGAAGTTCTATACAACGGCATAGCAATCCTATGAGAAAAAAATGAGGTGAGTTTACAGTAACTCTAGTTTATACCTGGAGGCTTCCAGGATGCAGCACAAGGAGGAAGACCCACACAAGTTGAGTCTGGTGGTATCACACACCGGAGCAGACAAAACTCATAGCTCAGAGACCACTGTGACTAGATTTTGTGGGAAGTAGTAATAATACAGACATGCACAGGAATCAAGTATAGAACTTAAAAGAATCACTACTCTAGTGGTGGGGTCAAAGTAGTCTAGATGAAAAGGTGGTCTAGTCACAACTACCAAAGCCACAAAGGATCAAATGTTTTCTATGTCAGCACTTCAATTTTTTTTATACTTTGCAGACCAGCACCTGTCTGCCTACCGGTGCACATTATAACCACGACATAGACCACTGGTTTTAACTATCTATATCAGAAAACTAGCACTGGTACAGGGACTGGTCTAGGCCAGGACTGGAGAAAAAAAAAGAAAAGAAATCCAAAATTACATAAGAGAAGCACTAAAAATGATTGACCTGATAATCAATATAAGATTACTTTTTCTTATTGTTTCAAATGATTTAAAAATATATGACTTCTTAAAGTAAAATTTTACATTTGTTTGGGATTCATACAAAAATATAAAGTATATGAGAATAGGATAAAAGAGTTTGAAACTACTGAAAAAACAATCAGCTAAAAGAAAAAAAGAGGACAAAAAAAATCAGCAAATAGAAAAGAACAAAAAGATAAGTTTAATTCAACATATTAAAGATGAAAAAAATCAAAGTGGTTTATACCTGAATTACATTAAGAAAAACTGTCAGTTTTAACTAATATCTAAAGGCTATTTTTAAGAAGTCTACTGTAAAATAAAAGAATGTTTACCATGTTAACACTAAGGAAGAAAGCTAAAGTTACCATACCTCAAACCATTCAATATATTAAGAACAAGAAATCTTATTAGATAATTCATAATAAAAGGAACTGAAACATGCAATTTTACTGAGTCAAGTCTCTAAAATTTGAACAGAAATCAAGTCTGTTCCAAACAGTATCCAAACTATTACTCTATCCAGATAGTATTATAACTATAACTCTAATACTACTATGATGTTATAAAGTCAGAAAATAGAGCCCAAAGCCAATGAAAAAGGATTATACACAGGTCAAACAGTAGTTTTAAATCCATGTTAAGATTTAATGCTAATATATCCAGATTTTTAAAAATATTTCACCTGGAAAGCAAAAGTAACACCTGATTACTTAAGCATCAAGTCAAGGGTCAAGGTGGTACTTATTACAGTCCCAAAATATGATTAAAATAAAATTTTTTTTTTTTTTGCTTTTTGGGTCACACCTGGCGATGCACAGGGGTTACTCCTGGCACTGCACTCAGGAGTTACCCCTAGCAGTGCTCAGGGGACCATATGGGATGCTGGGGATTGAACCCAGGTCGGCCGCGTGCAAGGCAAATGCCCTACCTGCTGTGCTATCTCTCCAGCCCCTAAAAAAAATTTTTTTTTGAATGAACTTCAACACTTATAATACAGACCTTTCTCCTACACTGATGCTTCTGGCAGTCACGCATCTTCACACACTTGGTTTCACACAGGTAAGGTTTATGACATGGCATTCGCTTTGTGTGCTTCCCACAGCGACACTGCTTTTCCACTTCCTAGAAGAATCAGATAAGTCACACATGACTGACCTGTTGATTCAATTGTTTTTCACATTAGCATCTAGAACTACTGAAAAATGAAGGACAAAGTTTTAAAGCAAATTTATATAAAAGACAACCAAAAATGCAAAATTTCCTCAAGTATTTGTTTGCAGTATACTTTGTATCCAAAATGGCTTCAGAGAGACTTCCATTACTAAATTTTGTATAATAAATATTAAGGCAATATACACACTGAAGTCGCTTATACTGCAACCATACTATATATACTATATATATATATACTATACTATAAAATCTGCACATCCTGTCTCAGGAAAGCAAAGAAGCTAGATAACTAATATGAATAAAACCAGAATGAAATACATAGCCTTAAAATTGCAATTTAGTCTAGGTATTATGTCTTTCCACCATCAGTAAGTATAATTTATCATTGCTTTGAATATCTTCTGGGGACAAACTACTGCACACTCTACTGAGAACATTGAAAGTTTTACCAAACAAAATCAAAAAAGAAGATAATTTAGATATGCTTGCTGGTGTAACTGCTTCATCACTATAAATATTAGATCACTAAACTCTTATCAATCATGACATAAATTTTCATGACAGTAATGGAAACAATTACAAAACAACTACATTTGACAATACAGACTGCTCTTAAAAGCAATTATTAAAGGATATGACTAACTTGTCTACATGTTTCACAAGGACCTCGGTGACAACGCTGTGAACATCTGTGGATTCCACATTCAAGCACTTTGTCACAACTATCTCCACAAGTTGGTACATCTTCGGTACAAGGCAAAGAAAACTCTAAAAGCAGACAAAAATTCAATGTTAATAAGATAATTATTACAAAGCACCAACAACGTGCCATGTTTTTTAAATTGAGAATGACAGCCCTCTCAAACCTTTTCTAACAGCATGCATAAAACCATATCAAAATGGACTAACAACTTTCACATCAGACCTGAATCCATAAGTTACATTGAGGAAAATAGGCAAAATTCTCTATGACACTGAAGCTAGAGGCTTCTTTAAAGAGTCCATACCATTAGCCAAGCAAACAGAAGCTAAGATAAACAAACAGGGCTACATTCAATTAAGAAGCTTCTGTACCTCAAAGGATACAATGACCAAAATACAAAGACACCCTATAGGCTTAGAGAAAATATATGACCACCACTCATCTGGTAAAGGGCTAATATTCAAAAATACATAAAGCACTAAAGAACAAGAAAAAACCATCAAAAACTAGGGAAAAGAGATGAACAGAAAATTTCTCAGAGGAGAAACACAACAGCCAAAAGGTATATGAAAAAAATGTTCTATATCACTAATCCTCAGGGAAATGTGAATCAAAGCAACAATGAGATCTAATCTCATCCCAAAGAGGCACACACCAAAGAGGACAAAAACAATCAGTGTTAGTATAGATGTGGGGAAAAAAGGGAACCTCATTCACTGCTGGTGGGAATACTGACTGGTCTAGCCTTTTTGGAAAATAATATGGACACTCCTTAAAAATCTAGGAACTGTGGATTCATATGACTCAGTGATTCCACCTATTGTAATATAACCCCTAACATCTGCAAAATGTATGCTTATTTTTAATGATAGGGGTCACTACCAGGGATGCTGTGGGGAGGAGGGTAGAGTGGGATCCCAGCCATACCAGGCTCCCAGGTGTGATTAAGATACCCAGAACATAGTAGTGCTAGGGGCCCCCGGGGCCACATTCAGCAGTACTGAGGGGATCATGTGGTGCCAGCTATCAAACTTGGGTATCAAGTGCAGGGCATTTACTTCAGCCCTTAAACCCTTTTAGGATATGCCCCAGACTCCAACGATTACATTTTTAAAAGAGAACATGACATGACATTTGACAAGTTACCACTTTAGAGAAAACACACTTTTATGAGGTAACTACTTCAAAAATCTTAAAGAAAGAGGAAGAAAATTTCTGAAGAATTTTATAATTTAGGAAATTATAATTCAAAAGAATTTTTTTTTTTTACTTTTTGGGTCACACCCAGCAAGGCACAAGGATTGCTCTGCGCTCAGGAATTACCCCGGCGGTGCTCAGGGAACCATATGGGATGCTGGGAATTGGACCCAGGTCAGCCACGTGCAAGGCAAACGCCCTACCTGCTGTGCTATTTCTCCAGCCCCAAATTATTTTATAATTTAGGAAATTATTTCAAGAAAATTGCTTGTAACTATATAGGATTAAAAAAAGCATAGATTTAAAAGCATTATGAAACTTGAGTATACTTATAACAATTGTTGACAATAATCTTAAAATCATGGTTGCTGGATCATTGTTCTTCTCTTCCTTCAGAAGAATGAGGGAGAGGATACAGTCTATTCAGACTGAGATTATTCATCTCAGTTAAAAAAAAACATAGAAAATGAAATAAAAAATAAAAAGTATGGATGCTGCTGGAATTAATGCAGTAACAAGTAGACTCAGATTTAAACTAAGGTCTTTAACTCAAAGCAAGCAAACTAAACCTATCTCTCTAACATACAATAATGACAACAGTTTACGATTATAAGATTTCCTTTATCAAAGTTAAAGAGGAAAGTAATCTACCTAGGATAAAGAATGATTTTATAGGGCAGGACATGAAGTAGAGAGGGCAAGGCACCTTATTCACAGCCAGCCTGAGTTTAATCCCCAGCACCACAGCATAAGATGGTGCCCTAGCATTGCCAGAAGCAACACATTGTGTTATCCAACAATACCATTCCAAGTGGTATTCATCTGAACAATACAAAAACACTAATTCAAAACCAAGCAGCAATCACTCCCAGGGATTATCTGAGAAATATAAAACAGAGCCAGGGGGACAGCCCAGGGGTCAGAGGCTAAGTTTTGCATAAATTCAAACTCCAATCACGTGGCCCTCCAAGCACCACCAGGTGTAAATCCAGGAAACTCCGGAATACTTGAGGTGACCCTGGTGGTCCCTAGCACTGCAGAGTTAGAACAGCACTGCATCTTTGGATCCACTCTTTGGCCAAGGGTGACTGACAGTGGCCCCCTGGGCCCCAAGCACTGCTTGGGAGGTCCCAAAAATACATAAAGCCACTAATTCAAACACGTATGTACCTCTATGTTCATAGCACTATTACCCACAATAGCCAAGACATAGAAACAACCTAAATCAACCGATGACTGGATCAAGAAGTTCAGGCATATACCAATGGAACTCTGCTTAGTTATTAAACAAGATGGAATTTTGCCTTTGTAGCAATATCAATAGACTGTTAAATGAGCAGCTATGCCAAAAAAGTCAGAAAGTGAAAGACAATTACACGATAGTTTGACTCACTTGTGAAACCAGACAACAACCAGCAAGACACAACAAAAACAACAGACTCTGAAAAATATAGTGAATACCTCGAGAAGGAAAAGTAAGATGGGTAGAAGGTGTCACTTTGACAGTGCTGAGAGCATAATAACTTTGGTATTACGTAGCACTGTTGCACTGTCGCCCTGTTGTTCATCAACTTGCTCGAGCAGGCACCAGTAACATCTCCATTATGAGACTTATTGTTACTGATTTTGGCATAATGAATGCGCCACAGGTAGCTTGCCAGGCTCTGCTGTGCGGGCGGGAAACTCTCAGTAGCTTGCCGGGCTCTCCGAGAGGGACTAAGGAACCAAACCCAGGTCAGCCCGCACAAAGCAAATGCCCTACCCACTTATCTGTTTTCAGAAATGTAACTATAGCGTATTTAGCGCATAACTATAGCACTGTTTAGACTTTAGGGGAAAAAATGATTATAATAAAATCAAATTATTTTCATTTTTCCTGAACCAGGAAAAGTAGATATATCATCTCAATTATTTAAAGCTAAATTTCAAAGGATAACTTAAATCTCTTTTAATTTTTAAGAAAATGCTTCCCCCCAAAGTGTCTAAACAGAGAGAAGCCTGGCTTATTATCTGTGTACTAATGCTAAAAGAACTGTCTAGGCCCCTACTGTTCTGAGTAAAATAAAATGACATTTAATTAAGATCAAAAGAACTGTATTTTTTATTTGACCTACCCTTTATTTTATTTTGCACAAGACAGACCCAGGTTTGTTCCTGGTATCCATATGGTCCCCAACAGGAGTGATCCCTCAAGACAGAGTCAGGAACAAGACCCAACCACCACTAGGTGTGGCCCAGAAACAAAAACAACAACAACAACAACAAATAAACTAAATAAAAATCAATCATTTTTTAAAAATCTTACTTGACTTCTGACATGGACAAAATCTTTTCCCAGATCGAGGACAGTCTCCACAGGCACCAATATGGCAAACCTGCTCACATGTATGATTACCACACGTCAGAGTTTTTCCACATATCTAAAATAAAACACAGTAAGCACTAGTGAAAAATTTCCAACTTAGCAAAAAAGACTATACATGACAACTCATTTTCCATTCATAAATAAGCTACTTATCTGATAGTTATGCATATACAAACACAGCACTGGAGCACTGTCCTCCCACTGTTCATCAATTTGTTTGAGCGGGCACCAGTAACGTCTCCATTGTGAGACCTGTTGTTACTATTTTTGGCATAGCGAACACCTCAAGGGTAGCTTGCCACGCTTTGCTGTGGGGGAAGAATACTCTCGGTAGCTTGCTGGGGTATAAATATATCCATAATATATGGATATTATATAAACACACACATATGCATACACATACATACATTTCCTATTCCAAATGTATTACTGGTCCTTGAACAGTTTAGAGATTTGGGGACACGGATTTCCACAGTCACAGAAAAATTCTGCATATGATTTTTGACTCCCAAAAGGTTAAATTAGTTAATAGTCTGCTATTGACTGAAGACCTTACCAAAAAAATGCTTATTACTTATTTTATGTATTTTATCTAATATATGCTTTGGAGAAAAGAAACTATTTAAAAATCACAAAAAGATTATTTTATCCGTTAAAGTACCCATTTATACTATATTGTATTTATTATTGCTATAATTTTGCACTGCTTACCAAGAATTCCATATATATTAACTCACACAGATGTTAATTTGAAAAGAAAAACTCAGGAGCTAGAGAGATAGTACAGCAGATAGGGCATTTGCCATGCACGCGGCTGACACAGGTTCGATTCCCAGCATCCCATATGGTCCCCCGAACACTGCCAGGAAATAATTCCTGAGTGCATGAGGCAGGAGTAACCCCTGTGCAACACCGGGTGTGACCCAAAAAACGAGAAAAAAAAAAAAAGAAAGAAAAACTCCTCCAGAAATAATGGACTAGAAAATAGTTTTCTAAGACATGAATTGCTACCTTTTCTCTCTCTCTTCATCCAACTGAACCTAACAAACATTTCTAGTTGGTTATGCTGTGTTCTCTGATTCCCTTAATTCCCATACACACAACGCACATACACTTACTTGCTCACAGTGCCACAGTGGACTGGCACAGCTTCTTTCAGCTACTTGTTTGCCACAGACGCATCTTTGCTTACTAACTCTTGGACAGGGCTGACAAGTTCCTAAAAACATAATGTTCAATTAGAATGTAAACATAAAAGCAATAGACTTCTTTGACTTGTCCTTAGGAGTCAGAGCATCTAGCACAAATGACTTTTACCTGCATGACAAGGATTTTCACATTTATGTTGTCCACAGAGCAACTTCTGCCCACATGGCAGTTGGCAAGACCATTCCTTGGCACTGCACCGACGGGGAATAGGTTTTGCTTTCTTACAGTAACAAGTAATTGTGACCATCTTTGGACAAGGAGGGCAGGGACCTAAGAATCAAAAGGGAAGGAATTAAAATCGGATGTTAAAAGTGAAAATTTGGCATTCCTACAGCCATCAGTAAAGGTTCCCACACTAAATACTTCAATCCCTTTCAATATTTTATGAAAACTTAAGTTAAAAATGCAACATTTACAGTAGGTTTTGGCTCATATAATTAGAAATAACCAACTACCCACAAAAATCTTTACCTAAAATTTACCTGGATGACAAAGGAGTAAACACTTATGACCACAAGGAGGTTTAAATTCTCTCTCACATACTTGGCCACACGAATGCGGCACAAGCCATGGATCTAATGGTGGGTCTTCTACCTTTCCACAATAGCAGAAATACCTTGTAGGAGTGTCAGATTTCTTATATTCAAACCTACATTTTGGACTGCAAAAAAGAATGAAATTCCTCAAGTTATTTTATTTTGAAAGTGACTAAAAATACATGCAATATCTATTATTCATGTATAATACATATACATAATAATATATACAAACACTTAATAACATTGAACACTCGGTTTTATGTTAAGGCACTCTCTGTACCATCTTTGTATTAAAAAGAAACAAAGATAGTAGTTGCTAAGATCAATTTCAGCAATTAGATCAGTTGTCAGTATAATGCACTCAAATGATGGACTGTTTTATAATACCACTGTCTACTCCAGGAACCACTTTTAGGTTGTTAGTGCATTTGAGCGATAGCACAGCTGGCATTTGCCTTGCACACGGCCAACCAGGTCAGCCCAGGTTCGATTCCTCTGCCCCTCTCGGAGAGCCTGGCAAGCTACCAAGAGTATTTCACCCGCAAGGAATAGCCTAGCAAGCTACCCATGATGTATTTGATATGCCAAACACAGTAACAAGAAGGGAGGACAGTGCTACAGTGCATTTGAGACTTGACCAGCATATAACTTAATGAAAATTAATTTTATATACTTTTAAAATTTAAACAAATGTAGGTACTAGTTTCTACTATTCTATGTGTATTAAACAGCACAAATCTAACCAAAATAAAACAGAAGCAACATTGGGTTTTTTTTTTCTCTCTTTTTGGGTCACACCCGGTGATGCTCAGGGGTTACTCCTGGCTCTGCAGTCAGGAATCACTCCTGGCAGTGCTCAGGGGACCATATAGGATGCTGGGAATTGAACCTGCATCTGCAAGGCAGATGCCCGACCCGCTGTGCTATTGCTCCAGCCCCAACACTGGCTTTTCATAAACTTACATTTTATTCTTGAACATCACACTAAGCTTATAAAACTTGATTCTTTAAAAGTTTGATCGCATGGTTTACAAATAAGTAAAATATATCAGCAACATCAAATGGAATAGAGAATTCAAGTTAAAAGTAATCAATATAGCAGAAAGAAACAATTTAAAAATCTTGAATTAAGGGAAAATACTTGAAATTAAACCAAGAAGATTGCAGTTCTCAATAGCTAATACAAAATTGAATATATTTCAAATTCTCTGCTAAAGCATAAGATTTTTAGAACAAGATTAAATAAGTGTTGGTAATACTAAGTATTAACCATCGGCTCTATCAAATTCATGCAGAGCATAGATAACTTTATTCTCAAAAGATGTTCTAACCCTTAGCAACTCCTAGACAAATATAGTATATTAGAAAATGTTTCATAATATCAAATTTCTTTTATACTATATATACATTTTCATTCTGAGAATATGCTCTTTCTAAATATACCACATAAGTACTCAGAATAACCAAAAGACTTTTTTTTTTGGTCTCATTTGGTAAAAATAACCAGCATATTATTGGAAGTTAAGTTTACCTTTATGGAAGGAAAAATGTTGACAATTCTACAATACTATGGAAAAGGTTGTAGACTTTATGTAGCGTCAATATAGAGGGCTTAATAGTAACTCAATACCCCAAACCTGCTTATCAACACTGAGACTGAAGAAGTACAATATTTGCAAATGCATGTGTCTTATTTAAAATACTGGCATGACAACAAGTAAATGTAATTTTACCATACCTTATTCAAAACCATTCAATATTTTAGTAGAAATAGGCTTTAAATGTGCAGTTTCCACAAAACAATCTTAAAGTTTTTCTCAAGTTCTAGCTCCACCTTGATCAGATTACCAAAAATGCATTTTAAAATATAACAGTCTTTTTTTTTCTCCCTTAAAATATAAGCAAACTAAATAGTGGGACATGTACATAGCACTGCAACAAAGCACTTCTCTTACATGTATGAAGCATTGATCTAGTTTACCATAAATAAATAAATAAATAAATAAATAAATAAATAAATAAAAGAGCATCACTTGGAAGCTACCACCATCACCCACACCCAAAAATATCAGTCATCAAAAATAAGACAAACTAATAAAATAAACAACTTAGAAAGATTAGTTTATAACATAGAGTTACAATTACAAGATTTGAGGATAAAATTAAGATGCCTATGACCAAATGTTAGATGACAATCATGTTCAAACTATGAACACCAATAAGAACTATGAAAGAACCAAGATTATGAAAGATTCCAATCATATTAAAAATACATCAAAATGCCTGAGAGTTCAAGAGTTGGAGCTCAAGTTAGATCCCATCACCACGCATATGTGGCCCGACTCCTACTACAGCCCCACCCTTGCCCATCACACTGTCTGGCCTTGCTTGGCCAAGGACAACTGGGAGTAGCACCTAGATCTGCTGCTCAGTGCTTGGGAAGTCCCCTTTCAAAAAAATTAATTCAATCTCTTAAGGAGTTATTTTGCAGGGTAAAGAGTTTGAATGTTTTATTATACAGACTGAAAAGAACAGTAAATAAATGGTAGATGAGCGGTATTATTGCCAAAGTACCAAATCTTCACCCAAAAAATGAAGTGAAAGCTAAGTGTGAATGCTGAAACTGCCAATAAGGCAAATCACAGCAACAATTTTCATTTACTTTACAATTCAATATTTCAACTACAAAAGAAGTTACCAAGGCCAGGGATAATCTTTCTTTCCAAAATCGTCATCCGTCAGAGAAGATACCAAAAATTGGCTGTCTTTAGCCCATTTCTGAATACAAGGCATATGAAATATACAGAAACATCCTGAACAGCTCCAAACCTAAGACAAAAATAAAAAGATTAGCATACATGCACTGATTTTCTTAAACAATTTCTCAATGATATTTCTTGTTTGATCCCACACCAGTTTAAAATAACACATTATTTTCAAGATCTAAGAGCTAAAGAGAAATACATTCCTATCCAGTGTAACATAAGAATGTTCTTTATAGACACTGAAGGGTAGCAACTATTCTACTTACTGAGATACATCACCAGCTTCATGAAGAATAACTTAAAAAGAAATTATAATCACTAAGAGTCATTCAACTGTAAATACTACTAACATTCTAGACTGTCTTTAATTTTCCTTTTAGTCAAGATTTCATACCACATTGAAATGTGCCTTTAAAAACTCTCAACACAGAATCCTTTACACCTTTATCAAATATATTCACACAATTATAGTAATGTCATGAAGATTTATAACTGTAATTTAACTAACCAATTTCTTATAGCTGGGATTTTAGGTTTTTCTAACTGTAACAAACCTTATGTATCAATCATTAAACAGAAATATGCACATGTATAAGATGGGAAACTGCCAAGACATGGCATATCGATGAGCTGATTACTTCTATGTTCCTAAGATCCATCCTGCTATGGACCCACTGAACAATCTTGTGGAATAGGCATCAGACTAGGTTTGCATGCAGAGGAATTACTCATCAACTGCCACTGAAATCAGAGTAAGTCAAGCACATGTGACTCTAGGTGCCAAAGGCCCGTATCTGCTGTACATCTTAATCAATGTGTGCTAAACTTATGATTTACTTGATATGATTAACGCCTATATCTGGTATGATTTTCTCTCTCATTGTTATAACGGCAGTGAATAGACCTGAGGTTTAAATATTGAGTCAACTCTGGAAAGAAAGATGGCGGCCGCACGGGAGCCTTGTGGAAAGCAGGTTTGAGCCGGGCTCGGGGGGGGGGGGGGGGAGCGGCGGGGACCTCATGGGAAGGGGGGCTCTGTGGGCCGTCCCCCACGCCCCACCGAGGTCGCCAGCTGCCCCCCACGAGCGGCTCTCCGGCACGGCCACGGCCCCGGAGGCACAAGGACTTAGCACAGAGAACCAGCCGCTTGGAGCAGAAAAGCAAATGGACTTGTGTTGATCCGTGCCACCAAGCCTGCCCGGAGGGGGAAGGGCGTTGACCAGCCCGCCCGCTCCTCTCTGGAAAGAAAGATGGCGGCCGCACGGGAGCCTTGTGGAAAGCAGGTTTGAGCCGGGCTCGGGGGGGGGGGGGGTGGGGGGGGGGGGAGCGGCGGGGACCTCATGGGAAGGGGGGCTCTGTGGGCCGTCCCCCACGCCCCACCGAGGTCGCCAGCTGCCCCCCACGAGCGGCTCTCCGGCACGGCCACGACTCCAGGGCACAGAAACCAATCTCTTAACTAGCTAACTTTTAATAGAAATTCTTCCAGGGTCAATAAGTAAAATAGCAGAAATTCAAAACCACGCGGCCGCTATTGCGGCCGCGCAACATCATTTTATTCTTAAACCAAGTTGTAGAAAGCAAATCATTTCACAACGCTGTTTCAGCATGTCTGATTGGGGGGGGGTGGGTCATAAACTCTAAACAATAATTGTGCATCTTCTATCGAAATAATCTATCTAGTCAAAGTAGATAGAGTATTATCTAGAACTCATCTGCCTCACAAGAATTGGGAGGGGTGGGAGGTGGGGGTCTATTGGGGTTCGGGGTTAAAAATGAGTATTGGCAAAGGGAAATGTGTTCGGTATCTACATGACTGAGACCTAAACCCGAAAGCTCTGTAACTTTTCCCACAGTGATTCAATAAATAAATAAATTATTAAAAAAAAAATATATTGAGTCAACGCCCACGAGCGGCTCTCTGGCACGGCCATGGCTCCAGAAGCACAAGGACTTAATGCAGAGCCCAGCAGCTTGCAGAAGAAAAGTGAACGGACTATGCCTGCCCAGAGGGTAAAGGGTGTTGCTCCCTTCCGCCTTTTTTCCCTCTGGAAAGAAAGATAGCAGACACATAGGAGCTTAATGGAAAGCCAGGTATGAGCTGGTCGTGATGGGGTGACTTAAACCTCATGGGAACGGGGGCATTCCTGGCTTGAGAGGTCACGAGTTGCCCCCCACGAGCGGCTCTTCAGCACGCCATGGCTCTAGTGCACAGAAAACAATCTCATAATTATCTGACTCTCAGCAGAAATACTTCCAGGCTTAATAAGTAAAATACCAGAAATCCAAAATCTGTCGCGGCTATTGCAGCTGCGCGCGATATCATTTCATTCTTGTGACCAGCTGTAGAAAAAAAATTATTTCACAATGCCATTTCAGCATGTCTGATTTGGGGGTGTAAACTCTAAATAATAATGGTGTATCTTTTGTCAAAACAATGATTCTAATCAAAATAAATAGTGTTAACTAGAATTCATCTGCCTCACAGGCATTGGGAAGGTTGGGGGGGCTTTATTGGGGTTCTTCGTGGTGAAAAATAAGTATTGGTAAAGGGAAATGTGTTTGATATTTGCATGACTGAGACTTAAACCTGAAAGCTTTGTAACTTTTCCCACAGTGATTCAATAAATAAATAAAAATATTGAGTCAATCATATCAGTTATTTCTTCCCTTGAACAATGTTGCCAATGCCCCCTTTAAATTTACAAATAACTCTGCTGTTGGGCAATAGCTTTTCTAAATACATAAGTTATGCCTGAAATCACCACTCCCGTGACTCTTCTGGTACTTTCAAATGTCACTCCCCAGACACTCTCTGCCTTGCACACAGAAACTCACTAGTAAATCCTAAATATGACTGATAGGTTCTATTTTCTTCCATATAGGCAGAACTCTATCCTTCATTAGAGCTACTGAAAATTATCAAATACAAATCATTTTGACATTTTTGTATTTGTGGTAATTTTTCCAGTAGACATAAATGTTTTTTCAAGCTGATAGGTGCATTGAAACTGAAAATAAGTTTCTTCAATTGTATTTAGTGCTAAAAATAGTGCATACTGTTTAATATAATTTTAAATAAAAATTTAAAAATGAAATCAATTCATAGGTAAAATTCTCAAATGAAGAATTTGTAAAGAAAAGAAAAAGGGGTAGAAAAGATAGTATAGTGGGTAAGGCGCTTGCCTGGCATGCAGTCAACCCAGGTTTGATCCCTGGTACCCCATACAGTCCCCCAAGTCCCAACAGGAGTGATCCCTGAGAGAAGAGTCAGAAGTAAGACCTGAGCACCACTGATGTAGCCCAAAAACTTAAAAAAGAAAAAGAGTAATAAATAGTAATAATATTTTTAATAAAGTATTAAAAATACAAATTGGAGAAGATACATTAACACGATCAGGATCACAATCATCCTGTTGTTCGTCGATTGCCTCGAGCAGGCACCAGTAACGTCTCCTTCATCCTAGCCCGGAGATTCTAAAAAATGCCACATTCCAGACTCTTTCAGGGTTAGGAGAATGAGACCCATCATTGTTAATGGTATTTGGCATACTGGGTACGCCACGGGGAGTTTGCCAAACTCTGCGTGTGGGCAGGTTACATTCGGTAATCTGCCAAGTTGTCCAAAGCAAAACATTAACACAGATAAAAGAAAAACTTACTGCTTGGTTTCTCTTCACTGAAGCAATACAAATTAAGCATGTCATAGCTCCTGTTTGAAAAGCTTCATTTACATACTGCTTTGTTCGCTCTAATTCACGGGTATCTCCATCTTAAAATTGAAAAATTAAAAAGCTTGTGTTAAGCAGTATCTGAAGATAACACATAATACCACCACATTATTTGTTAACTGTCTGGTAACATAAATTATTCAAAACACAGCTGAAAAAGTTCAAAAATATGAAGAATAAGAGTTAGCTTCTAGAAGGTCACATAATCCTTATATCAGATTCCATATACTAGATAATAAAAATAATACTTTGGCCTTTTCTCAGAATATACTTGCTTTTGTTGCTGCTACATCTCTTAACAGATCTGGTGGGAGCAAAGCAACAATACATAAAGGAAGATCTAGCATATAAAAAAAAAAGTTGAAGAAACTATAGGTGTGAAAACTGAGAAGTCAAAACTCAACATTCCTTCAGCCTACATATAAGTACATGTGTTTGACACAGTACATCTTAATAAAAATTTGAATAAAAATGCCCTGAGGTCATACAGTATAGTAAGCATGTTTGATTAAGTTATAACCACTATTTCTATTCTAAAAGATCGTATTAGCATCTTAGAAAAAACTATTTTCCTTAAGCAATTATTTAGGATGTATTTACCAGACTATAGTACTGTAGCACTGTCCTCCCACTGTTCATCAATTTGCTCGAGCGGGCCCAGGAACATCTCCATTGTGAGACTTGTTGTTACTGTGTTTGGCATACTGAATATGTCACAGGTAGCTTGCCAGGCTCTGCCGTGCGGGCAAGATACTCTCGGTAGCTTGCCTGGCTCTCCGAGAGGGGCAAACGAATCGTACCCAGGTCGGCTGGGCCAGCCGCATGCAAGGCAAACGCACTACCACAGTACTCCAGCCCAGTGTAACAGAGGGCACACTAGTATACCAGACAGTACACTAGTATTAGTATTTCAGATGGACTAAATATTTTACTTTAATCTTTATTTTATTATAAAGCTAAGGTGCAGAGCAATAAAGCAACTTCACTTTGATTTTAAAGTGGGCCATATTAACCACTATGCTATAATGCTGTAAGAAGTTACTACAGAAAGGTCCAAGAAATAGCAGATAACAACAAAGTGAAAAGCCCAAAAAAAGACTACAAAGTCGTACTCAAAAGTATACTAATCATTAGTAAAGGAGAAACAAATCAAAATGCTTTAGTACAATAAAGATTGCTCACTAAAGATTAAGTATTCTCAAAAAATAAGGCAGATATAGAACATTAACTATTGCTAGCATAAACTTAACCAAGCAGAACTAAGTATGACAGTAAAATGATGCAAACCAAAATTTAAATTACCAAAAAGAAAAATTAAAACTTGCTCTACTATAATGTAAATGAATACAATTTAGGATATGAAACAAACTATACATAAAATCACTGCTGAAGAATTAAAATATTATAAAGCTTTAAAAACAACGGGTTTGGGAGCCGGAGCCACAGTACAGCCGGTAGGCGTTTGCCTTACACCAGGCTGACCCAGGTTCGATCCCAGACATCCCATATGGTCCCCCAACCACTGCCAGGAGTAATTCCGGAGTACAGAGCCAGGAGTAACTCCTGAGCATCGCTGGGTGTGACCCAAAAAGAAAAAAAGGGGGGGGGGGGCGGGTTATTTTATAGAAACATCAAAGTTTAAAGAATATCCTTAAAAGATTTCAATTGTATTGTGTCCTTGTTTTACTTTCCCAAAAGGTAAAGGTAAAAGGTAAAGGCCCTCCTGTTGTTCATCGATTTGCTCGAGCGGGCCCAGTAACGTCTCCATTGGAGACTTTGTTGTTACTGTGTTTGGCATATCGAATACGTCACGGGAAGCTTGCCAGGCTCTGCCGTGCAGGCGAGATACTCTCGGTAGCTTGCCGGGCTCTCCGAGAGGGGCGGAAGAATCGAACTCGGGTCGGCCACGTTGGCTGCGTGCAAGGCAAATGCCCTACCGCTGTGCTATCGCTCCAGCCCAAAATAAAATTTAAAAACAAAACAGGCTTTAATGGAAAAAACAACCTAACCTATTTACAAAATTTATGTTAAGATTTCTTTGAAAACTGTTAAGGTCTGGCTGCAGCAATAAAATATATTGCCCAAGATATCATAGTAAACAGCATTACCTCTGCTGCCTCGCATTTTAAAAAGATCACTGGGTATAGCAGGTAGGGAGCTTGCTTTGCAACAGAACCAGATTCAATCCCCAGCACCCTCTATGGTTCCCTGAGCCTGCCAAGAAAGATCCCTGAGTTCAGTGTCAGCAATAAGCGCTGAGCATCCTCAGTGTGTTCCAAACGTCCCCACTCCCCAAAATAAAAGACTTTCAGACCATTCTCACAAATAAAGAAAGTATCAGTATGAAGAGACCAAGACTAAAAGCATTAAGTACCAGTTAAAAATGACCTAGAATTCACTGTCTCAATTTTCTCATTTTAAAAATAATAACAGTAATAATTATCTTATCATTATGTGAATTTAACATACATATTAAACAGTTGTAAGGGCCTAAATTATAGCAGTGATTACATGGTGGTGGGGGGGGAACAGATTATGGAAATATGGGAAGTAAAACTCAGCTGAACTGGTTACAATTTGACTGTGCTAGTTTGTTTTTTTGTTGTTGTTGTTTTTTTGTTTTTTTAAAGTAGCTATTCAAGTCAACAATAAAAAGGAAGGAGTGCTGTAGTGGCATTCTCTGACACTGGCACAGTGAAGGAATGATAGTAAATCAAACATTCTGGCCACATAGTTTGATGTATCCAAGGACCATCAAGTAGAAATACTTCTCAAAAAAATAAGCAGGTAAGACTGAAATCAGAGAAGAGGACCACAGAAGTGCAAAGACCATGCTCAGAAAAAAGGAATGAACTTTCCTGACAGTTTCTGTTTTATTCACTGAGATAAGAGGCTCACTGCCTTTCTAGCATTTACTGCTGCTAAATCAAAAGATCAGATTTCTTCACTGTGACAAGGGCGAACACCAAAAATCAATACTAGTAGATGTGGCTCAAAATAACATGTGAAAAACTACCTGGCCACCTTATGATAAAAACTACATTAAAATATAAAACCTAAAAACGGTAATGTTTTCTGAATAGAAATAATACTTGAGTTATGTCATTTTCTATCCAAAAGTTAAATCTGCCTGTATATGAGATCCTAGTGAGGCAGAAAAACTTAAAAGTTTCTTTCTATGACATTCCCTGGAAGAACCTTCTAACCTTCAAGTTGCTTTAAAAAAAAAAAAAAAGAAAGAAATTGTTGGGGCTGGAGCTATAGCACAGGGGGTAGGGCGTTTGCCTTGCACGTGGCCCACCCGGGTTCAATTCCCAGCATCCCATATGGCCCCCTGCGCACCACCAGGAGTAATTGCTGAGTGCAGAGCCAGGAGTAACCCCTGTGCACCTCCGGGTGTGACCCAAAAATGAAAAAAAATAAATCACTAAAGTAGCATGATTTACAAAGCTACTCATACTCGTGTTTTAGACATACTATGTTCTAGCAACAAGCCCATCATCAGTTGCTTCTTTTCTCTCCCAAGGTTCCCAGGTTTCCTCCCACCCACCCCACCTCCACCCCACCAATCCTGGCCTGCTACCTTGATAGGCACAATTTTAAGTTTGGTTCTTAAGTCTGGATCTCTGTTTTCAGTATTGTTGACTCTGTGGTTTGAATATTTAGCTATCCCACTCCTTTATATACCTATGTACTCAGATCCCCTTGACCCTTGCTCCCCATTGCTTCCCATCTATTTTTTCTCCCCCCCCCCAATTTCTTTCCTTCTTTGCCCTTCTCCTCCCTTTACTCTGGGGTCAGGGTGATCTAGGTATTCCCCCTTTTAAACACTGCATTCAGGTTACTTTCTGTCAATTTTTTTTCAGACCTTGTCAGACTGAGTCAAGGGGTCCCAATTTAACAGACGTGGGCTGGACACGTAATGAGATTTGGAGACAACCACTGGACTAGAGGCATTACTGACTGGATTCCATGGGACGTCAAAAGACCGCGTGGCCGCCCACCTATAAGATGGTCAGACTTCTTCGTCAAGACCCTGAACTTTTGAGGCTCTTCGTGTTCTTAGAATGAACAGTCGCCACTGGGCTTACACTAGCACGTGACAGAGACCAATGGAGACGTTACTGGCGCCCGCTCGAGCAAATCGATGATTAACGGGAAATCAAGTGATAAATTCCTTGGAAACAAACTTGACAACGCATTCCTAAGCTCAAAATGCCTTCAGTATATTTAAGGTACCTAGTGTTGATAATACACACAAGAACACTTTAAAGATGATGGAAAATGGCTTCATGGCTATCAGGAAAGCATGATGAGATTAAGAGTTCTATCTTTAAGACTATCTATATGCACAGAAATGCGTCCACTGTTTCTGAGACACCCCCCACCCCACTGTCACAAAGTGTATCTCCAGCACAGTCAAAGGCGTAGGACTGTATGGAAACCAGAGTGTGCAAGTCATAGCATAGACAACTAAAGTACATGGGAACACTTCATCCAGGTGAACTACACCAGGTGAGCATGTGTGGGAAGAGCACAGAAATTCAAGCTCTATACCCAGAATATGCAGAAACATGCCAATGAAATGAGCACAACCCCCAACATGTGCTATAATCAAGTGTGCGAGCATGGGGTTCACAGCTGCGGCAGCAGGAAAGGGATGGGAAAAGGAATGGGGGGGGAGACTTTTTTTAATTTTAAAAGAATATTTTTTAATAATTCTTTAAATATAAATATGGAAAGTATATTAACTCTTGTATAAAAATAATCAGTTATTGCCCTTGGTCCCAAATCCTGAATAGTAGTATGTGCTGTGTCTGGTACTCTTTCACACTATAAGATATAGCTTTCAAAGTAACCCAGATATATAGAATACATGTGACTGGACATGACAAAAAAGAGACTTAGTTTTTTTAAGAGTTTCAAGCTCTACTGACTGAGCTAGCAGGGCAGGTGGAGACTTAGTTTTTTTTTTTTAAAGGTATATAATCAGTAAGGCGAACGCCCTACCCGCTGGAGCGATAGCACAGCGGGTAGGGCGTTCGCCTTACACGCGGCCAACATGGCCGACCCGAGTTCGATTCCTCCGCCCCTCTCGGAGAGCCCGGCAAGCTACCGAGAGTATTCGATATGCCAGACACAGTAACAACAAAGTCTCCAATGGAGACGTTACTGGGCCCGCTCGAGCAAATCGACGATCAACGGGAGGGCCTTTACCTTTTACCTTTACCTTTATATAATCAGTAACTATAAGAAATGAAAGGAGTAAAGACAAGAAGAATTCAAGACACATATAACATGATGAAAAAGAAGAGCAATAAAAAATATATTTTAACAAGCAAACAAACTTCTCACGTCCAATTTAGCCATAGCCAGGTATAACTTCACCCAACTAATTTTATAAATAGTTCAGCTCACCCCTCCCAGAATTCTAAGAAAAGGTCCACTAAACCATAGGACTTTTAAGGTTGTAAAAGACATGCAATAAAACACAAAGTGCAAACTATGCAAATATTTAATTCTAACACAAAAATACTCATTCCTAAGATGCAAAACTATTTTGCATCAAGGAAAGAGATTATCAGAAAAAAACTGGAATATATTTTCATTGATGTCAAAGAAGTCAAAAGACCAAGCTGTACCTGTCTGAGTAGTGTAAGTTGTAAAAGTATTAGCAACTATCTTTCCCCGTTTTCCTTCAAAATCTTCATCTCCTTCTTCTTCAGATGAAGAGCTAAACTGTTCTTCAACAAGTTTTTTGGCTGCTTCTTGATTAGCCTTCTTGATTTCTTCAAATTTTCTCTGAGACATTAGCTCTGCTTAAAGGGAAAAAACACTAAGTTTTAGTCACAACAACTTCTGTACTTCCATATCTTTTCAAAATATAGACCTCACTTCAAAAAGTCACTTAGGGAACATTCCAATTTATTACTGAAAAAAGCCTTTTCAATTTCTGTCACATTAACTAAAAAGAATACCATAATGAAAACTCAGTTTCACTGAATATTCTACCAAATGCATATAGTATTCTAAAAAGAGTAATGGATATAGTATAAAATATATGGCAAAAATATTTTTTAAAAACTAGTCACCTCAAAATAAGAATATCAACAAAACTTAAAAGTATGATCTTTAAAAACATCATTCGCAGTGATTTTGAAGAAATGGGAAACTTCACTGGAAACCCATCAGAATCCATTTCCACTCCAACAGTCCAATACCCAACCAAAGACTTCACAAGCAATATTAATTATATGTCCACTCTATTTCTATTCAGCTTCTTAGAAAGCTCAAGGGCATTTGCCCTCATTAAAATGTCACAAAAAGGCTTGCTCTTCAAGCCCACTGTTCTCCCTTATTCAAAAATTTCACTTGCTGGTCTGTTTCGTTGTTGGCGTATTTTCACTCTGAAGAAGTTCATGTTCTCTCTTAAAACAGGTACTTCCTGTTTTTCTTTCCCTTAACATCTTTCTAAACTAGTTTCAATAAAAACTATCTTGCTTCCCCAGAAATTTAAAACAGAATAAAATGTAACAAGAAATAGATACTACAGGGGCTGGAGAGACAGTAGACAGTCGAGTGGGTAGAGCACCTGCTCCGCAACCCAGGTTCAACCCCCAGCATGCCATATGGTCCCTTGAGTCTGCCAGAAGCGATTCCTAAGGACAGAGCCAGGAGCAGCCCTTGAGCACCACTGGGCGTGGCAAACAAACATATGAATAGGTATCATAAACAAATGTTGCTTAAATAGAAAATGTGCTTCTTATACCTTCATTCTAAAAAGAATATTAAATAATTTTTTTCTGCTAGCTCTTCCACCACTAGCTTTAGCACTCACTGTACTGTACTTCTCCTTTTGTTACTTGATTAAATAATAATGAAGACAGAATCAAATTGCTTCAGAGCACAATTCCCTAAAAGACTTCAAACTTGAATACTCCTCAAGCACTGTTAATAAACACTTATGGGCAACAATTTAAAAGTTTTAGAAAGCCACAAACATGCGAAATCGATCTGAATTAATTAGTGCTCATATTGAAAGACTTTTACTCATTTGAAGATTTAATTACTAATTTAAAAATCACTTTATGCTTGCAACTAGTGAACCACAACCAAGGTAAGTTTTCATACTTTGAGTATTCGTATTTAATGAGGTTTTATTTTTGTTTCCTCCATTAAATTTACCTTTTCTTATTAGAGCCAGTTTGATTGGCAATCAGGCATTTTTTCAAGTAAAACTGGAGTTTTGTAAATGTACAGAGTGCCTACCTAGGGATCTTTGGCTATGAGGAAAAACGTAATGATTATCAGATATGTGACCAAACACTTGACATACAATGGAAAAATGTCACTAGTTATGGGAAATCAGCACTTAAATATACATGTTGCAGCTGCATTTGATAAATATTAGCTTTAAAAATTTTTTTTTATTTTATAACCTGATTAATGTAACGTATCCACAGATCATCTCTAGGAAAAACTGTGACATCTCTGGGAAAAACTGAGAATGCAATTTCCCAAATGTTATTTCTTAGTCAAAATCCATTCCACCACCTACAAAATCAGCATTTACCAAAAGTGTTCTTGGGTCTCCAACTTGCACATCTCACTGCCACTCAAAATGCAATGCTGCCCAACTAAGAAAATACCACTCGTCTTTAGCTAAGAAAAATTTCTCAGACGCTCAGTTCGCTCCCCAACCCCACCAAAAAAGAAATAAAGTACTCATATATTACGTGCCAAACACACACACACACACACAGAAAAATAAATTTCAAAGAATTAGTCCTTCTGCCATTAGCTGGAGCAACTGAGAGTTGTATGTTTGATCGCGGGTGCCTCCGAAATCCAGCCTTGTATGAAAATAATTCCACCACCCATAGGTCCAAGCAGAGAGCAAGAAATCTGTGCACCGAGAACCAGAGTTCAAGTAACACAGGCCAGCTGCTCAATGGGCACGATTACCCTTCATTGAACTCAGGCAAGGTGACAAGGATGCAGAATGACAACTGCTCCAGCCAGGCTGGCAGCCACGTGAACCGTAGGGAGAGCCTCAGCCCCCAAAAATGAATGAGAGCTGCCAGACCTGACACAAAGGCGGGAGGAGCGCCTGGAAGACCTTAGTTTTGAAGAAAAGTTGTACATCGGGCTTGCATGCGATTTTCAGAGAGAAGAAGAAAAAAAAAAAAACAAACCTAGGGAAAAAAGAAAAAACACGGAGGCAATCCAATTCCAAGTCCTGGTATTCCAAAAAAAAATTAACCGAATTAAACGACTCCAGGATACAAAATACAGCAGCACATTTGCAGATCTCTGGGGCTACTTTTGCAACTTCTGGACTAGGGTTCTTGGAAGAGAAGAAAAGGACCAAAAAAAAAAAAAAGTACAAATGAGAGAGAGGGGGAGGAGACGAGGAGAAGAGAAGAGAAGAGGGAGGAGAGAAGGGGAATAGAAGCGTCCCGAGAAGTGGCCGTCAGGCGCCCGTCGCACGGAGGTGACAATTCAAGAGGCGTCCGGGACGCTGGTGCCTGGAAAGCGGCGCAAGGTCGCGGCCCGGAGCTCTGGGAAATGGGGGCAGCGCCGGGGGGACTCCCGGGAGAGAGAGCCCGGGGCGCGGTCAGTCCCCTCCCTCCCCACACACACACACCCCGTCCCCCCGCGCCCGGCCCACCTACCTGCAGTCGCGGCGGCGGCGGCGGCGGCGGCGGCGGCGGCGGCGGGGTCGCCCCCCGAGCCCTTGTCTCGCGCTCCGCCCGCGCCGCGGAGAGGGACTCCATTTCCCGACGAAGGGGCCGCGGCGGCCGCGCGCCCTCGACCTCGGCCGCGGCCACCGGCTACCTGGCGCCAGGAAGCGTCCATCCCTGAGCAGGAGGCAAGAGAGAAGTGAGGGGGGTGTGGGGGTGCGTCGGCGCCGCAGGCTGGCGGGAAGCCCGGGCGAGGACCCCCCCACCCACCCACCGACACACACCCACCCCGAAAAAGGAAGGTCCCCAGCGGGCGTGAGGAGGTCGCGGCCCTGCGTCTCCCGGACGGCGGCGACTACCGCGCTCCAGCCGCCTGTGGGGAGATGGACCCGAGCGGGGGACTCGGCAAGGGAAGGGAGCGCCCGGCTAAGGAGCGCCCGGCGCCCCAGAAGGAGCGCGTGGGACGAGGAAAGCGCCTGCACGCCGTGTCCGGGAAGCTCCGCGAGCGTCCACGGAGCCCACGGCTGCCGGCAGACACCCACCGCGCTAGCGGATCCCCGAGGCGAGCGACGTCTCCTTAACCGGCAGCGCCCGCTCCCGGAGACTACAACTCCCAGAAGCCCCTGCGCGGGGCGCCTCGGACGCGTGGCAAGCCCGAGCTCTTCCTGATCCGGGAGCCTGGGTTGCCCTAAGCGCGTGCGTCCGGTATAGTCCGGCGAGGGGAGGGCGGTGTAAACTACAATTCCCGACAGGCTCTGGGCTTTACGGAGGCCGCGCCGCCCACCGGGAAGGCGCAAGGTGAGGAAGGGGGCGGGCCCTGTTGAGCTGTTCTCGCCCCTGAGAGGATGTGGCCGCGTGATGGACGTTGCCCTCCACCCAATGGGGGAGTCCCGGATTACCCAGTCACCGTAGATCATTTCTTAAAACGTTGTCATGGTTAACTTTTTTGCCCCACGGGACTTTGTCCTTGGTCTGGCAGGTGGCTGGAGCAATCTCAGCGATGAAAAAAAAAATGAAAACGAAACCTTTCCGGTGGGAGAAGAGGGGGAGGACGACTGGGGAAGGGTTGCCGTCTCTATCGCCGGATCGATTGCCAAACAGATCGATTTAACGAACGCCTGTCTTAGACCTCTCTAGTTTACCATATACGTTTCCTGAAGCATGCCGATTGTTAGCTTCACGAAAGTTTCCCAGAGTTTATTAATGAATATGAGTTGGAGAGCCAAGACAGTTATTTTGTAACTTCCCAGCTTCCTAAAGTTAGGTGGTTTTTTGTTTGTTTTTTTACATTTGGAGGTTTGCAGTTTGAGGCAATGTGAAGGAGGAAAGTTGGGGGTTTGGATGGGGTAGTAAATGAGCACAAAGGGGATATATTTATTGATTTTCAATGATGCACAATGCAATTATACTTCGATTAAAAAAATAGTTAAAATTTCTTAAAGGAATTGAAAAACTGAGTGGAGGCATCGAGAAATACCTTGATTTCTGTTTGCGCGCATGCAATCCTTTACACAATTCTTTAGCTTCATTTTTTGACAATAAATTAATCAAAACTTTCTGTAACTTTATCTCTACTCCCAAGCTCCCCTTTCTCAGAGAGATAAAAGGAATCCTAGGCTCCGGGCCAAAGCAGGGCTGGAGAGAAAGTGCAGCAGGTAGAAGCTTGCCTTGCATTCTACCAACCCCTTCCGTTCCCAATGGATCCTTGAGCACATCCAGGAATGATCCCAGAGTACAGACACTGTGCCCTCTCTCCACCATCTCACCCCTACCACCACAACCAAAAAAAAGGGGGGGGGGCAAAAGTAGGGCTGGAGCAATAGCACAGTGGGTAGGGCTTTTGCCTTGCCCCTGAGCACCACCAGGAGTAATTCCTGAGTGCAGAGCCAGGAGTAACCCCTGTGCACCTCCGGGTGTGACCCAAAAACGCAAAAAAAAAAAAAAAAAAAAAAGGCAAAAGCAGACTGTCCTAAGCTTATAGTTTTATGCAACAATCTCTTTCTGGGAACAGCTGTTTTATTACATTGATTGGCCAAAACAGAGACTTACAAATACTTGTTTACTGACAGGAGCCCCAGGCTTCCAGCCAGACTGCATTAGAGCCCTCCTTGACTAGTCTCCTTTCTCCACATTACCATATAGAAAAACGCACTCTGAAGATGTTTCTCTACCGTTGTCTGTGTATGTGATGTATAATTATGTGTCTTTGTTACGTGGTCCTCAACTTTTTAGGGCCACCTTTTTCCTTCTTAAGTATGCACATATTTATTCTCCTGAACAGCTAACAATACATAGATATGCATCACCCTAACTATACCTGAATAAAATTAGTGAGCAGCTTTAGATGTCTTTTCTCTACAAGGAGTTGTTATATTTCCTGTAACCTCTCACACTCTTCACCTATGCCTTGTCGTTCTTAGTACAAAGGAGTATTTTCATGTTTGTGTTTAATGTCAAGTTAATCGTGGATGACAGGGAAGAACAATTCCTGGGTCTTCTAGAGAGAAAACTCTAAGAAAGACTGAGATAGAAATTGTTATTTTGCTGCTTTTACCAGAAACTGACCATCATCAAACCACTGGTGCCAGCCAACCATTAGCATGACAGGAACCCTCCACACACTGCCTGTTGTCCCACTATCCCTGTTTCCCTTTATATAAACCAAATCCCCAGAAAGAGGGTAAGATGATGTTGGGGATACAATAAATTAGCCTTTTCAAGTAGCCAGCACTTGAATAAACCTTTTCCTTCCCACCAGCTCTTATTTCAAGTATCGGCATTTTAGTTCATGAACAACTAGACCTTAAGTTCAGTTAACAAGACCAGACCCATACCCCTATTTCTTTCTGAAGTTTTGTGTACTGGTTTGATCTGCTTCCCAGTTTAAGTTCATTTTCTTGCCAGTGAAATTGTTTGGTTTTTCCTGTGATTATTTTTTTTGACAATAGTATTTATAAACTTCAAGCAATATTCAGTGTAATTTTACTTATTAAGTATTCATTTAGTAACCTTTATTTGGTACCTGGTAATCCTGTTATTAGCCCTATTTTACACTGGAAAACACTGATGTACTGAAATGTTAAGTAGTATGCCTGTGGTCATATGCTTAATGTTGACACTGCCTTCTTTTATCATTAAGAAACCTGACTGGAGAAGTTGGTCAACCTGACTGAGCACACACATGCTTTAAATCCAGGAAACCTGGGTTCGATATCCAGCACCTCCTGGTTCCCAGTATCACTGGGCATAACCCCAAATACAGAACTAGGAGTAGTCCCAAAGCATTGGTACTGGGTCCCCCTCTGCCCCCCTCCCCGCAAAAAAAAAATCAAGAAATGAGAAAATGGGGCCGAAGCAATAGTACAGTGAGTAAGGCACTTGCCTTGCATGGGGCTGACTGGGGTTTGGTCCCCAGCTTCCCATAAGATCCCCTGAGCCCTGCCAAGAGAGATCGCTGAGTGCAAAAGTCAAGAGTAACCTCCGAGTATAGCTAGGTGTGGCACCAAAAAAACTGAGAAAGAGAGAAGAACATGTTCTAATTCAACATCTTAGCAGAACTGTAGTACAATTCTGCAACTGCAACTATAATACAGCTTCTGACCTGAATTCTTGACCACTATGCTGTACAATTACTGTGTAATGTGTTTAATATTACTGAAAAATTCCAGCTACTTTTAAAGAAACTAATCAGACTGCCATGCCTCTAAGGCTCACATAATCAACATTCCTTCCCCCATCCGCCACAAAACTTAGTAACCATAATCGTTTGGAATTCAAAAGACATGTGTACTCACTGACTGAACAAATATTTATTGTAGTATTATAGTAGAGTTTAGAGACCTGGTGTATATCACCATATGCAAACCTATGAAAATTAAGAATACATTTTCAAATGTTATTGTTTTGGTTTGAAATTTTAGATACCATCTGTAAAAAAAAAAAGACAAAAGAGTTTTTTATGTTTATCAGAAGGAAAAATAAGGAATTTATATAGATGATAAAGGTATGATTTAAAATGATAAAAATTAAAAATATACATGTGTAGTTCTAAAATGATTAATTCTTCAAAGTAGTGTCCCCAGGAATAGTCAAAAACAAGACTGTCAATATTGCCAACATATATCAACAGGCATTCTCACAGTGGCAACAGAAGTTGCTTCAAATACTGTTGAGAAAATATTTGGCAGCATGTACTAAACATGACCAAATAAAGTCCTGTGACCAGATCCACTTCTGAATATATACCTAAAATAAATGACTGCATAGCTCCATAAAAATCAGTTGTATTCAGAATCACCAAAAATGGAACCTCATGTCTATAAGACCAGAAAAGCAAATTGTGGTATATTCACATAGCAGAATGCTATGTATAGAAAGAAAAAAAAATCCACTTGATATAATAAGATATGTATATCCCTGGTGGACAAAATAGGATAGAAACACCAAGTACTAACTTGTTCCTCCAATTTCATGAAGTTCCTAAAAAAAGTAACAAACCAGAGAGGTTCTTATCTGTAATGAGGTTGGGAAGATTTTTAACTAGAGAGAGAATGAATGAGGCATCTTCCTGAGTGACGAAAAACATTCATCTGGACCTTGGTAATTGTCTCACTTGTGAGTACATATGTAAAACCTTAGAAAAGCATACATGTATAACTTGTTCAATTTACTATGTGTATGATAATTTTTAAAAATAATTCAAAGATTAAATGTAGAAAAATAAGTCTGTATACTTCAATTGTCTAGCCATTTGAAATAATGTGATCTCATTTGTTTTTCTAGTAGAGACTTATCTTGTTACAGATTCTTTTGTAAGTATATACACATTCAACTCCTCAAATTTATGCTTGACAAAAATATCTCTATACTTAGTCAAACCTGTGCCAGATTATCAGTTTATTATGTTGCCATTTCAATAGATATATTCTGTGCACAGAGAACAGCAGAGGGCAGTGGAGAGACATGTTATGAGGGAAGATGATTGGTATCTTGGTGACTGCACAGAGAAGGTGGAAGACTGCTCTAGAAAAAAACATCTTTTCTTCCAAGCTCTGCTGAGTAACTATGTCTAGGGATTATTTTTTCCCAGTAAGACTGACATTTCACAGTACCACAGTATCTGTAATGTACCTTAATACTACAGCAAACATTCAAAAAGTCCAAGTAGCAAAGCAAAATCAAATGATTATAATCATTCTATATTTCTTATTTGATACTATGACTAGTATCAAATATATACTTTGAGGGTTTTGTGGGCTCTCTCTATCATGATATTGGATGTTTCTTTTCTTCTTCTCATCAAAGGTCTCTCTGTATTTTGTTTGTGTGTTTGTTTTCTTCAACTTACATGGAAGCTTTGAGTATCTCATAACATTGAGTATCAATAATATAGCAAATTAGTTTAATGTTAAGTCTTTCCAGTATTTTAATAGTCATCTGGGAAGCTTGGATGTTTTTTATTGATTTGCTTGTTTGTTTTTGTTTCACACCTAGAGATTTTCAGGAGTCACTCCTGACAGTGCTTGAGGGCCATATGGGATGCCAGGGATTGATCTTGGGTCAAGTACATGCAAG